CCCCTCCCCTCCCCTCCCCTCCCCTCCCCTCCCCTCCTCTCCTCTTTTTTCTATTTGAGACAGGGTCTCACTATGTAAACCAGGTTGGTGTTAAACTCACAGAGATCCCTTGTCTGTCTTTGCTCACCGTGCCCAGTTTGCACAGGAGATGTGAGTCAGAATCAAAGATAGTGAACAAGGCAATGACTTGAAGTGCAATTTACCCTTTAGTTTTATTTTATATTGTGTATTGTTTGACCTTTCTTGTTGTTGTGACAAAATACCTCAAAGAAGCAACTCAAGGAAAGAAAGATTTGTTTGGGCCCGCATTTGAGAAGGACACAGTTTGTCATGGTGGGGAAGGCACGGTGGTGGTAGCTTGCTTACATCTGAGCAGATCGGAAGCAGAGAGAAGGCTACCTGCAGAGTTGTGCTTCCTCAAAGCCAGCTCTCAAGTATTTCCTTTTCTCCATCTAGCTCAAATTCCCATGCCTGTTTGGCAAATCCTAGACTGAATCATCTCCCCAGCTTCTGGTCTAATTAGGTGTCTGCCCTGCAAATCCACTTTAAGTCAATCTAATAGTATTCTTTCATCTTTAAAATATTTTAGCTTGTATATGTAAGAGCTAAGGACTCCTGTGGCTAAGGTAATGAGAAACTAACAGCTGTTCTGCATATTATCTGATAAGATCACTTACGATTTAAAAAGTTTAAACATTATCTTTTTCCATTCTTTGTTTTAAATATCCTATTCCAGATAAAGGTTCCTTCATTCTCAGAGACTCTGTCAGCCCTGAATGTGGTTCAGGTGGCTGGTGGTTCTAAGAGCTTGTTTGCAGGTATGATGATAATTCTAATATTGGAAAAATTATGTTTGGCACACATAAAACGATAACTTTTATGTTCTGAAAAGTGACACTTCTTTTGACCGTTCTTGCAGTGACTGTGGAAGGGAAGGTATATTCTTGTGGAGAAGCCACAAATGGCCGGCTAGGCCTGGGTATGTCTAGTGGTACCGTTCCTATTCCTCGGCAGATTACAGCCCTCAGCAGCTACGTGGTCAAGAAGGTAGCAGTTCACTCAGGTATGTACATCAGTGCACAGTTCCTAATAAGCTTTTGCTCCTGGAAGTAAGTGATTAAGGCCCTTAAGTAACTTCCTGAAATGTCCTTGTGTTGTTTTTCAAGGTTTTTAGTTAACTACTCTGAAGAAAAGGTGGATGTTATAAATCCCTAGGTGGTCTAAGATTTAGTTATTAGTACTTAATGAAGGTTTTTGGAAGCTAGCATTGTTGGCATTTCAGGTGTGTGGGTGTATAAAGAGACTTTGTGTTCAGACCTGGAGTGATTGTTTCAGGCCCAGCATGTTTTAGCTAGGAAACTAGAAGTCAGTGGCTTTCTTAAAATTCTCTAAGGTACCTATGAATCTTCAGTGATGAGAAAGATATTTTTCAAATGAGTTCATTGCTGTCCTTCAGTTTCAGCTTGGCTTTACTGAATGTTTTCCTGAAGCCCTATGCTAGATTCTTAAGGAACGGAACTAAACTCTCAATAACAAGCTCAGCATCCTTAGTCGTCAGGGAAATGCAAATCAAAACAACCCTGAGATTCCATCTCACACCAGTCAGAATGGCTAAGATTAAAAACTCAGGTGATAGTAGATGCTGGCGAGGGTGTGGAGAAAGAGGAACACTCCTCCATTGTTGGTGGGACTGCAAGATGGTGTAACCACTTTGGAAATCAGTCTGGCGGTTCCTCAGAAAATTGGACATAGCATTACCCGAGGATCCAGCTATACCACTCCTAGGCATATACCCAGAAGATGCTCGAACATATAACAAGGACATATGCTCAACTATGTTCATAGCAGCCTTATTTATAATAGCCAGGAGCTGGAAAGAACCCAGATGTCCTTCAACTGAGGAATGGATTCAAAAAATGTGGTATATTTACACAATGGAGTATTACTCAGCTATTAAAAACAATGAATTCGAGAGGTTCCTAGGTAAATGGATGGAACTAGAAATTATCATCCTGAGTGAGGTAAGCCAATCACAAAAGAAGACACATGGTATTCACTCACTGATTATTGGATATTAGCCTAGAACCTTGAAATGCCCAAGATGCAACTCACAGGCCACATGAAGCCCATAAAGAAGGAAGACCAAGTGAGGGTGATTCGGTCCTTCTTAGAAGGAGCAACAAAATACTCAAGGGAGCAAATATGGAGACAAAGTGAGGGATAGAAACTGAAGGAGGGGCCGTCTCAAGACCACTCCACCTGAGTATCTATCCCATGTGCAATCACCAAAGGTAGATGCTGATGTGGAAGACAGGAAGTGCATGCTGATAAGAGCCTGATATGGATATCTCCTCAGAGGCCTTCAAGAGTCAGACATATTCAGAGGCAGATGCTCACAACTAGCCATTGAACTGATCATGGGGTTCTCAATAGAGGAGTTAGAGTGAAGACTGAAGGAGCTGAAAGGGTTTGTGGCACCATGAGGAGAGCAACAATACCAACCAACCACAGCTCCCAGGGTCTAAACCACCAGCCTGGGAGCACTTAGGGGGGCATCCAGGGCTTCAGCTGAATATGTAAAAGTGGAGGGCCCTGCTGGGCATAGGTGGAAGAAGAGAACCTTGACCTCATGAAGGGTGGATGCCCTAGGGAGTGGGAATTTTGAGGGTGGGGAGGTGGGAGTGGGGGGGTGTAGATAGAGGTTACATCCACAGAGAAGAAGGAGGAGGGGTGAGGGGATTGGGGGTTCTGAGGGGGTGGTGGGGGATGGGGTAAGGGGACAACATAGGAAATTTAAATAAATCATCCAATAAAAAAAAAAAAGAAAAAAAAAATAACAAGCTCAATTCATGCTCATACTGGATAGGATATGATATAGCCGTGTGTAACAGACAATTTAAATGGTAGTAGCTTATGCAAAACAAGAGTTTACTTTTCTACTCTGTTAACCTCTAGGGCAATGGTTCTCAATCTGTGAGTCACTTTGTAGGGGGGTCACATATCAGATATTCTGCATATCAATATTTACGTTATGACTCAGCAGCAAAATTAGAGTTATGAAGTAGCAATTAAATAGTTTTATGGTTGTGGGTCACCATTGTATTAAAGGGTAGTAGCATTAGGAAGGTTGAGAACCACTGCTCTAGGGTTAGGATCTGGGCCCGTCTATAAGGCATCTGCCTGTGAAGAGTCCTGGCTCCTCTGGCCTCTTTCTGTGGGAAGGTGGCTATAATACTCTAGCTCCATGCAGTTTCTCTCAAGAGTGAAAGTTGTTGTTGTCACTGATAATATGGGGTCTTCTGTTGGGGATAAAGAGTAGGAAGTGAATGCTGGAGTCTCTTCTGCTGCACTGCCCTGACACACAAAAGTTTGTAGAGCCTTGACTGTATAGCTAAAGCTCATGGACTCAAGAGTGTCTGGGAAGAGCATAAGCTGATGTGCTTTCAAAATGGTGGGATTAAATAGTCCCACTGACGGTGGTGCTATTTGTGACGACAATCTGCTTAATTATAATGAGCTCGTTTTTACCTTTTATCTAAGTATTGACTTCTATACTAAAAACAACAGAAGCCCCATTAACAGTCATTATTATTTTGTTTTTTCTTTGTAGGTAAAATATTTTAACAATTTATAATTTACTAAAAGTCCATTTATTTTAGATATATGTCACCTATGTAGCTTGTATGATAATTGTGGTGATAATTCTGTTTATTCATTCAGTCAACACATACACATTGAGTACATGCTGTATTCCAAGCAGAACGGGTAGCAAAAACCTTTGGCAACCTTCCCCTGTATGAATGTTGCAGGTGGCCGACATGCTACAGCCTTAACCGTGGATGGGAAAGTGTTTTCATGGGGTGAAGGTGATGATGGGAAACTTGGACACTTCAGCAGAATGTAAGGCTGCTTCCTTCAATCTCACTCATTAAACGGGAACTGTTAACTAGTAATAATAGTGTATTTTCATAGTTATTTTACAGAAAATTAATGTTATAAATTATTTATTAAAATAAATATTAAAATTTTAAAAACCTGGATGGATATACTGTGATTTTACATAATCTCTTTTAAGGTTTGATAGTTAGAGTGATATATATATATATATATATATATATATATATATATATATATATAATTTTTTTTTATTTATTTATCTATTTATTTTTGTTGACCAAAGATGGTCCACCTCTGTGAAAAAATGTTTGATGATGAATGTAATTTACTCTTACTTTAGGAACTGTGACAAGCCCAGACTGATAGAGGCCCTGAAAACCAAGCGGATCAGGGACATAGCCTGCGGGAGTTCTCATAGTGCAGCCCTGACATCCAGTGGGGAGTTGTACACCTGGGGCCTTGGCGAGTATGGCCGACTGGGACATGGGGATAATACAACCCAGTTGAAGCCCAAAATGGTGAGTAGATACATTTTTATTGCTTATAAAGAATATCTAGCAAAGATAAGCCTTAAGTTTTTAGGTTTTTAAAGACTTGAACACTGTTGACTTTCATTGTTTTCTCAGTTCTCATGCTTCTTCATTCTGTTTTTAAATTTGTCATTGAGTAGGTAAAAGTTCTTCTTGGTCACAGAGTAATCCAGGTTGCATGTGGAAGCAGAGATGCACAGACATTGGCCCTGACTGATGAAGGTAAGAGCTGGCTGTGATGCTGGTTTCTGACTGGGTATCAATGTTATCAACTATTTACCGGAGATATTTATTTTTCAAACCTAGGTTTGGTGTTTTCCTGGGGTGATGGTGATTTTGGAAAATTGGGCCGAGGAGGAAGTGAAGGCTGTAATATTCCCCAGAACATTGAGAGACTAAATGGCCAGGGGGTATGCCAGATTGAGTGTGGAGCTCAGTTTTCTTTGGCACTCACCAAATCGGGAGTGGTGTGGACATGGTACGTGAACTTCCTCAGTGTTATTGCCAAGTGTGGAGTGTGTGGCAAGCCCTGTGCACAGCCTAGGCTGCTTGTAAAACTTTCTTTCTTACTCATTTGGCATCATTATATAGAAAAAAAAAACCCTATATTGCTGTGTTGAATTGAGATTACTGATGATATTACAGAACGATCTTACAGTGTTTTTGTGAATAAATCTAGAGAAGTTTAAACCAATTTGCATGAGGTTTAAGTAGGTTTTAATAAAAAAAAAAAAAGATCTGTGTTCCATTGTACTGGAAGCTACGTGAAATAAGGAGAGCAAAACAGATTTCTAACTTCATTTGGTCCTGGAAAAATTTGTTTTCTCTGTCTTTCTCTTTGTCTCTCTCTGCTTCTCTGTCTCTGTCTCTGTCTCTGTCTCTGTCTCTCTGTCTCTCTCTCTCTCTCTCTCTCTCTCTCTCTCTGCCTCTCTCTCTGCCTCTCTCTGTCTCTCTCTGTATCTGTCTCTCTCTCTCTCTTTCTCTCTCTCTGTGTTTGTGTATGTAAGCTTTTTTTTTTTTAAGTGTGGATTGAGTGGAGGGGAGTTAGCAGTGCTATTTTTTTTTAAACAATGAAATCTATAGTAACTGAGCTATTGTAAGACATATCACAGCAAGAAAGATCTTATTAGCCAAGTTAATGAGTTAATTTGGATATGGCATATAGTTCTAGAATTCTAGGATCTTGAATACTATGTATGACATTATCACTCCTTTCTAAATGTGTGGCAGTGAAAGTTTGTTTGTATAGCATTGCCAAACTGTAACCATGTAATGACATTGTTGCTTTCCTCTCAGGGGGAAAGGAGACTACTTCAGACTGGGTCATGGCTCTGATGTGCATGTGCGCAAGCCACAGGTGGTGGAAGGACTGAGAGGGAAAAAGATTGTGCATGTGGCAGTTGGAGCTCTGCATTGCCTAGCAGTCACAGACTCAGGGCAGGTAAGGCTGTAGTTGGCTCTTGGAGTGCTCATCGGCTTACACCCCTAATCTTGTCAAAACTGGAGTAATCAGAGTGGGTATGCTGTTATATGTCTATAATCCCAGCATTTGGAAGTCTAAAGCAGGATAGCTAGTTGAAGGCTGGCCTAGGGTTACATAGTGAGTTACAGGCCAGCTTGGGCTACATTTTCACATGCCACACCAAAAAAATAAAAACAAAAAATACCTCTAAACTCCTGAGATGCTTGAATGAGTTTTAGTATTAGGTTGCTGCAAATGGAATTGTTGAAATTTGCCATTTGATCCTGAAATGTATTCTTAAATAAGTGATTTATTATGAATTCTTTTTAATATTTATTTATGAATATGTTTATGTCTGTCCATCTGTGTGTATGTGTACACACATGTTTAAGTCAGAGGATACCTTTGTGGAGTTCGTTCTCTCCTTTCACCATGTGAGTCTTGGAGATGAATCTCAGGTCCCTAGTCATGGCCATAAGAACTTTTATTTGCCGAGTCATCTCCACAGCCCATATTATGCATCACATTAAAATGCATCACATTAAAGCACATTTCTCAATATGTGATGTTTCTGTTTGTTTGTTTTTTGAGGGTTTTGTTGCTAATAACTTATTACTTGTCATTTGTTATACTATTGAAATGACATTAGACCCCCCCAAAAGACACCCAAGTTTAAGTGACTTTCTTAAGTTCAAAATGAGTCATAAAACAATGGCAACAATTCATAAAATCAGCAATGTGTCTGGCCCAGGAACTGTTAACAATAGCCAATGCAGTTCTGGCTCCAGATGTTTTACAGTGAGAGGAAAGCCTTCAAGGTGAGAAGCATAGTGGCTGAGCATCAGGAGCTGCCAATGACCAAGTGACAGCAGTCATGGAGGATGGTTCATAGGGCTGCATAGGATGTTGCCAGCTAGCTCAGCTTGGACCATTCAACATTTGATGCATTTCATTCCATTTGATGCAAATTGGAAAGTTTTGCATTGTCATCTTCTTTTAATTTATGAGCAACAGAACTGTTTTTCGATTAGATTGTGCTATGTGATGAAAAGTGGATTGTATAGACAACCAGCTGTGATATGCTTGGTAGTTGGAAAGACGGGAAACTCCAAAAACACTTTCCAAAGCAAAGCTTGCACAAAATAAAGCATTAAAAGGCCATGGTTATTGTTGATGGTTTGCCGGTCATCTGATCCATTACTGCTTTCAGAATCTTGCCCAAATCATTGCATCTGAGAAGGATGCTCAGCAAATCAGTGACATGAACCATCTGTTCAACCAGTGATTCAAAGGTTAAACTAGTTGGGCTATGATCTTTTGTCTCATCCACCATATGCACCAGACCTTTCACCACCCATCTGCCTTAGTTCCAAACATCTTATGGGGGAAATACTTTACACAACCAGTGGGATACAGAAAATATTTTCTAAGAGTTGGTCCAATCCTCAAGCTTAGATTTTTGTATTGTAGAAACAAACAAACTTATTTCTCATTGGTAAAAATGTATTTATTGGTTACAATGGTTCCAATTTTGATTATTAAATACTTCTTTTGACCTACTTACATGATTTAAAATTTATGCTTCAAAACTGTAATTTTTGCAAATCTGTTTTGCACCAGGCTAATATTGGAGATCTGTTAGAGTGGCATTCATTTTGTTTACTGATATATTGTCAGCACAGGTTGGGTTGGGGACCTTTGCACATCTCCTCTCCATTCTGAAGTCCATGCTGGAATATAAATGTTATCATTGAAAGTTACTCCTACCTCTAAGCTATTAGCAGTTTCTACTTTAAAAAAAACTGATACATGATAGAGGCTGAACCTACAAAATGGAGGATATACTTACATGATAGAGGCTGTACATCTACTTTATTTTGGAAATATACAATATTTGATATATATTACTAATTTTGTTGCTTTGATAAGAATATACTATTACTAGCCCATTGAGCCATATTTTAAATTTTATGAAAGTGAAATTAGCATATTATTGTTTAGTCAGAAGTGAATTATTCTTTATGAATATAAAATCTAAAATGCAAATTATTTGAAAAATGAGCAGGGTATTTTTCTTTTTCTTTACAATTTATGGTGTGGCAGAGTTATTGCACTTAAGCCAAAGCAAGAATGTACTCTGCATCCCCCCATCCAAAAAAGGATAAATTAATTAGAATAATACTCAGTATTTATAGTTGTTGGAAAGCATTTTCATAGTTGATTTTTTCCTCGGAACTGTATGTACTTATGTTCTTTTATTACATTGTAATTGATTTTTATCTCTAAGAGTCCAGTTCTTTCAAGTACTGTGACATACGTTGTATGCATTTTCAAGTAAGTGTTTAAAAATTATGTGAATTTGAAAAATGTAAATTCTTTACCCCTTAATAGGTGTATGCTTGGGGGGACAATGACCACGGCCAACAAGGCAATGGCACAACCACAGTTAACAGAAAGCCAACACTTGTGCAAGGCCTGGAGGGTCAGAAGATCACGCGAGTGGCTTGTGGGTCATCGCATAGCGTAGCATGGACGACAGTGGATGTAGCCACACCATCTGTCCATGAGCCTGTCCTCTTCCAGACCGCAAGAGACCCACTAGGTGCTTCTTACTTAGGTAACACAAAATTTATAAACATTGTGCAAGTTTTGATGTAAATTTTTTCATTGTCATACTTATTAAAATGTTAGTAATGCAGTCATATCAATGTTATCATGCGATATTAATAAATCAGTGTCGGTGTGACTAAAGCAATACTAAGAGGTAAATTCATAAAAATACACATTAAAAAAAGAAAGACTTTATAGAATTCATCCTAACAAATCAAAATAAACCTTAAGGGGGAACTAATGAAGATGAGAACAGAAAGTGGTAAAGCTGAAAACAGGAAACTAGATATTGAGGCTGTCTAGTTACAAATGCTACTCAATACCATTCCTACTTGTGTCCCTGGGATAGAGGCTGCCCTCTAGATCAATATACACTTCTTACCCAAGATCTCAAAGTAAAAGTCTTTGTTTCCTAGGTGGTGGTATACTGAATTTGTCTTTATATCCTTTGGGGTTCTAGTATTGGGCATCAAATCCAGGGCCCTGTGCACTGAAATACCTGCCTGTGCTTCCTTCCACTCATTCCAACAAGTCTAGCTCACTGTGAGTGGTGGCAACCCCAGGCAGGTGGTCCTGGGGTATATAAGAATGCAGGCCGAGTAAGCCATGAGGAGTAAGCCATTAAGCAATGTTCCTCCATGGGGTCTGCATCAGTTCCTGCTTTCAGGTTCCAGCCTGCATTCCTACCTTGACTTTCATCAGTGATGGACTATGATTTTGAAGTATAAGCAAAACAGACTCCTTCCTAAGTTCAGCGGTGGGAGGAACCTCTTGAGCCCCTCCCCTATTTATGCTGGATTGTGACTGCCACGGAGAGAGCCTTCTGAGGACTCCCGGTGTATTTGAATTACAGGGCTTTAAGTCTAGATGATGCGAGCAGCATTTCATAAATATCAAAGTGCAGTTGTGCTTTCTTTTTTTTTTCCTTCAAAATAACCTAAATGCTCAAACCAGAGAAAAAGAGCAACCTGTGATCTTAAAAACACCTTAGATTTTTGTTTCCCTTTCAGGCGTGCCTTCAGATGCTGATTCTTCTTCTTCCAGCAATAAGATCAGTGGTGCGAATAACTGTAAGCCTAATCGCCCTTCTCTTGCCAAGATCCTCCTATCACTGGAAGGAAACCTGGCCAAGCAGCAGGCCTTATCTCACATCCTTACAGCACTGCAGATCATGTATGCCAGGTAGGCTGCTGTGTTGGTTTGTAAATTCTTCCATTATGTAAACTGCATGGCTTTGTAATATTTTAATGGGCCAAATGTTTACAAGAATGTTGTGTTATTGTCTTAAGTGCTATGAGTTGCAAGTCACATACCTTCACTGGTGATTTATAGGATCTTGGCACTTTATAATAAAACCCAACTGAGTATTGATATGTGAATCAGAAAATCAAGCTTAAGGATGTTTTCATTTTGTTGATAATTCTCTATCAGTATGACGGAAAGAGAAAGAGTGAGTTGATAATTTATGGTGATGTTTAAAAAGATTGTTCTTTGATTCACTTGATAAGGTAGTTCTTGTTGGGTTACATATTCATTTGTTGCTGTTGTTTTAGTCAGTTTTCTAGTTTTGCCCTCTGGTAGCATATCATGGTGGGATGCTGAAGAAGAGCAGAGCCTGCTCACTTCACACTCAGAAGCTAAAAAGAGAAGGAAGCAATCAAGGTTCCAGTCCCCTCAGTGACATGATCTGCTGACCCAGGGACACCCACTAGACCCTGTCTCTTACAAGTCTCACCACCTTCCAGCAGTGATAGCTGGATAGTAGGACTTTTCCACATGGTCTTTTGGGGAAGGTCCAAACGTAGCAAAACTTGCCCTATTAGTTAAAGTGTCCTGGGTGTGGATCTGATAGTTGTGCTTACATAGCTTAAGAGCAACACCTAAAACAGACAAGTAGGGCCAGTTAATCTGCTGATTATTATATCAAGTTGTTATTACACATTACTATCTGTTCCTCAAGTTCCAGCAGCAACCCAACAGGTGCTCTGGCTTTAGATTAGACACTCTTCCACTTGTCGCGTAAGTATATCATGTGCTGTGTAGTATAACAATGAGGATACATTCCCAGAAATACATTGTATTAGTGTTATAAGGAGCATATACATGTAAACTAAGCTCACTGGGGCCTTTCTAGCTGATATAATCCTATAAAATCATAGTTTAATATATGTAATCCATTGTGGACTGAAGTGCTACTGTGTGTCTTATATCTATAAAAAAGATCGGTGTATACATTTTAGCTTACAGCTGTTGGCTACTTAGTTAATAATGCACAGTAGTTTCTAAAGCTTATTTCTACATATTCTGTAGAAATGAAGACATACTTTTAGTGAGCACTTGACCCATCCTGCTGCTTCTTATGGTGCCCAGATGAAAGGGTGGTTCACCACAACCTGGCTTTCTGTTCTGACAGAGATGCAGTGGTTGGAGCCTTGATGCCAGCCGGCATGCTCGCCCCAGTGGAGTGCCCCTCATTCTCCTCCTCGGCACCTGCTTCTGATGTATCAGCAATGGCCAGTCCCATGAATATGGAGGAAGGCATACTGGCTGCTGATCTTGAGGACAGACTGAGTCCAAATATGTGGCAAGAAAAGAGAGAGGTAAAAGGGAACCTTAAAGCAATGTTGAGTTGGAAGGGAATGATGGCTTCTCCGTGTCTAGGAAACCCTACTTCTTCTGTCACCTCATTTTTGTGTCTGCTATTTGATTTTGAGCTTGACTTAGTAAAATATATTCCATTTCAAGAGATTTCTTTTAAGGAAAAAAAAAGATTTACTCATTTAAAAAGTCATTAAATAGAATTCTGAAATGTAAAAAGTCAGAAAGTCAGAGAATTTGTTAACTGTTTGGGAAAAGACTCCTTAGAGAGATGTGAACTCAGTATAGTCTGATTTGTGGGTCCTGCTGTTCTGACAGGGCTGTTTTGGCTCACTAGGGTTGCTAGGTGATATGGGCACTGGATCATTCCAAAGTGCTATAAGTAGTTTCAGTGTGCTATATAGCCAGACTTCTTAAACATTTCCTCTGGTGTATTCTCTGATCAGATCGTCTCCTCTGAGGATGCTGTGACCCCCTCTGCAGTAACACCATCTGCTCCCTCAGCCTCCTCTCGACCATTTATCCCAGTGACAGATGACCCAGGAGCTGCCAGCATCATTGCAGAAACCATGACTAAAACCAAAGAGGTCGGGAGACATTCTTCTTTGACTTCAAATGAAAAATAGCCTTAAATGTACTCCAAAGTTAGGAGACATATTTATATCTATCTAGAACATGCTGTATCTCCTATATTAGTCACAAAAACTCTCTGTAAAGTTCAGAGACAGTAGCATTAGTAATCTACTTGGAACAATACAGTCTACAGATTTTTTTTTTTTAAATTAAGCATGTCAGTATTTAAGTAGGGAAATGAGGATAAAGGAAAAGTGGCAAAGAGGAAAGTCAGAGTGAGAAGGAAAATGCTAGAGATTTAAGTGTTTGAGAAAGTTGTAGAGAAGGTGTAGAGAAAAGATGGCCATAAAAGCCTTTTTCAGTGAGATATTCATAACAGCTGAATGAAAATGTAAGTAACAAACAGTAAAAATTAGAGATCAGTAAGATGAAACAAGGGCTTTGAACCTCAGTCAGTGTCCACTCACAGATGTGTGGATGTGCCTTCTGTTAGTGTGCACATTTGTCAGTGAGGTTGCTAATCCGTGGTAAAACCGGTAAGTATGTGATTGTCCTCCCAGATGAGAGGGTTCTATGGCTGGAATCTGCTTTTTGCCAGTCCCTAGTCTAAGTTCTCCTGCCTATAAATTATACTCTTGTCTTGGGTATTTTGTGCTATTGTTTGTTCCTACATACTGGGCATTTTGTGACTGAAGCTCTGAGATAGTGAGCAAAGCCCACCGCCTTGTGATGATCTTTATTACACATATCAGGATATCTGCACCACAAACTTTTGCTTCTTTGTAACAAAATAACAGAATCAGATAGATATAGACAGATAGGCAGAGAAATAAAACATCCTGGGAGAATGGTAGATTAGAAGCCTTATTTGTGTGAATGGGTTTAAAAAATTAAGATGTAAAATAAATTTTTATCTGGGTAGTGTTGGTGCGTGCCTTTAATTCCAGAATTCGTGAGGTAGAGGGAGGTGGATCTGTAAGTTCAAGGCCAACCTGGTCTACAGAGTGAGCTCCAGAACAGCCAGGACTACACAGAGAAACCCTATTTCAAAAAACAATCAATCAATCAATCAACCAGTCAGTCAGTCAGTCAGTCAGTCAGTCAATCAATCAATCATTCCCAAAAGAGATGGAGCTAAAGAAAACAGAAAGAAGCATTAGCGGGATTTCTCTGTCAACAGAGCAACTACACCCTTCTTGGCCTCTCTGCATGCATGCCACATATTGCACTTGGACAGTCTGGCTTTTGCAGTGCTACTGATGAAACCACTTTCCTGGCATCTATAGCTGTCTGACTTCATGTGAACAGACTGGTACAGCTGAGCATTGGTGGCTTGGCTGCTTTGTTCGCAGAGAAATCCCACCAATGCTTGTTTCTGTTAGCTCTGTGTCTTACAGGAGGTTTGTTTGTTTGTTTGTTTGAAATCCATTCACACAGATAGAGTTTCTAACCTGGTGTTTTACCAGGGTATCTTGCTTGTCAGTTTATATCTGTCTGCCTTTCTTACATTGTTACAGATTCATGGATTTCTATTCTATGTAAGTGAGCTATTTATTTCTGTCACTGTTTAGAGCAAGTTTTCTCTCATAAGTCTTTGAGTATTTCTTTTCATCATTGTTGTTGTGATAGAATTAAGAAATAAATTGTGCATGTGTGTGTTGGGGGGGCAGTCAAAATTATACACATGAAAAAACAGGATGTGTCATCTGTTTCAGTTTAGTCCCCGTAAGTAGCCAGCTTTTTGTGCTGGCTGCTACCTACATACTTCCAGGCATCTTTTTTTGGGTACAGGCACTGGTACTCAAAGACAATCTGTCTTACTTGGGGGACCACATCTTTCCTCTGCATGACTTATGGCCATCCCAACTTCAAAGCTAGCTGGACTTCCTCACTGCACAAGGCACCCCATCACCCAGCGTCATACGCGTACATCACCTTCCCTTACTCACATTCTCTCTTATGCCAGCTGTCGCACTTAGGGACAGATACATATCGGTTTTATTTATGATAGAGTCCCTTGACTCATTCTGTAGTTACTATTGACAGGAAGCGTGTTCTATAAACATGCTGCATCTAGAAAGCTGATGCACAGCCACCTGTGCAGTAAAGTCACCTTAAGTTCAGTCTAGAGTCAGTTTTTTGTTTCTGGCAATCTTCTGGTATGAGTTAATGCATAAATTATCTTGAAGATGACATAGTTTTTGCTTTTATGTAGAAGGAGGATGCTATGATTCTCTTCCTACAAATTTATCAGTGAGACATAGGTGGTTTCCAGATTTTATCCTCAAATTTTTATCATGAATTATAGCAAGGTAATTTTCCTGCTAGTGTTGGTGTATAGTTTATATTTAAAGGTATGTAGCCATATTTTTTAAAGATCTTCATCAGATATTGTTAGATTTCTACCTCTGTGTCTTAAGACTGAAGATATTATATGTATTAATAGTTAAATACTCTCCTGGCTGCTTTTGCTATCATTCTGGAATGTCATCGTTTCTAATGAATTGTGCTTACTCTTTGGTCCCAGGACTCAGAGTTTTGGTTGTTCTCCCTGTTTTCATTTCTGTTATTCTAATTTCGTGAGGTCACAAAAGCAGAAGAGTGGAAAACCTGGGTTTCACTCTTTTTGTTTTTGAATAGTGAATAAGAATGTATTTTCTAATGCTTTTCAGGGTTTATGGGAGGTTCTCCTCTAAATGAAGTACGTTCTTTTTTTTAATTGGATATTTTATTCATTTATATTTCACATGCCCTTTCCCCATTTCCCCTTCCTAGAACCCCCATCCTATCCCTCCTCCTCCTTTTTGCTTTTATACCATTTTAATTACATGTAAGTATTAAAGTCAGTTCTAGGTTGAGGAACTAGCAATACAATAGATGCAAATAGTCAAAGAACAAGCAGACAATAAATACAAATAGTCAAAGAACAACCAAGGCAATAAACAAAGTTCCATGAACACTCCCGTGATCACTGTTTCTAGGGCTTATCAGGATGACCAAAATATCTGAGCCAACTTCCCTGTCTTAGCCCAAGGTCATTTTCATGTCTGAAGCCTACTTCCTTGTTCTAGCCTAATATTTAGATTCCTGCCTGAAATTACTTCTTTGTTCTGGCCTAAGATTTAGTTTCCTGCCTGAAATTACTTCTTTGTTCTAGTCTAATGTCAGATTCTTGCCTGAAGCCCACTTCCTTGTCTTTGGCCCATGTCAGATTCTTACCAAGCAGCCCCAAAGGCTCTTCACCTCTCCCCCATTTTTATTTCATTAACAAGACCTAGCCTGCTCTTTATTGAGTCTGATTCTGCCTAGGGAAGACACAGAGCTAGTTTCTGCCTTTGTCTTACATAATTTTTAGGCTGAGTACAGAAGTGGCCTACTTCAGCTTTGATGGCTGGGGTCTCTTTCTCCTTTTTATGAGTATTGCTCGTGAGACTCTTATGTGTAGAAAATAGGCGGGAACAGCTTACCCAGATGAGGCACCTTCACAGGCTAGGGCCTTGGCAAGGTGGGAGTCGCTTCTTCATTACTGAGTCCTCCACCTTCCAAGGCTCCAAGGGCAGACCATACTGGGGCAGTGCGGGAATAAAGAAAAGACAGAAACACAGAAAGCTGGGGTTGAGTGGACTGCACTCTCCATGGAGAAGCCACAGCATCCTGGAAGCTCAGTGTATTTATTTTATAGAATTGAACAAGGAGGAGGGATTATTGCATACAGCTGGATTAGGGGGCAGTGTAGGCTTAGTTAACCTCAGCAGGAACAGTCTCTGTAGGGGAGCAGTCTGAAGGCCTTAAACATCCCAGAGAGAAAAAGCTATGGTTTTCTGCACACACAACAACTTGGGCTAGAAGGGAAGCCCTCTGAGCCACATATCCCTGGGTGTGCTTTTTTGCTATTTTCCGATTGGTCTGAGGCTTGAAATGGTTGTGCTCATGTCAACAGCACATATTCACTCAGGCCTTCTTCTACTCCCTAGTAGTATGGGAGTAAAAAATAATTTTTTTAATGTTAACTAAAAGTATTAAACAATTATTTTTTTAAGGAACCTGAGGAAGGTTGATAATGTGAATGATGTGTTAGAAATCTAGATGAAAGTTGTAATATGAAATCTGATGAGTAGTGGTAGGTTTCACATGGCATGGTATCCTTTTAACTCACGTGGTATGCTGCCTACCTGCTCATAATGGCAAGCTGTCACTTCTTTACATTTCAAGGCATTGTTCCTTGGTGGATGCTATAAGTGCTTCGTAAAATAGTTCCTTGCTCTTGAAAATCGGATAGGGTTTAATGGAGATACTGGGATCAATCATGTCTTAGTCTTGTTCTTTCCTCATTCTTAATGTGTCCTTTGAGCTCCAGGATAGACTGGTGACTTTTATCTCTCTGTCCATCATTCTCTGTTTTAACTGTTGATTGTCAATTCATTTAGGATGTTGAAAGCCAAAATAAAACCTCAGGCCCAGAGCCCCAGTCCTTGGATGAGTTCACCAGTCTGCTGATCCCTGATGACACCCGGGTGGTGGTAGACCTGCTCAAGCTGTCAGTGTGCAGCAGGGCTGGAGACAGGGGCAGGGAAGTGCTTTCTGCTGTGCTATCCGGCATGGGCACTGCCTACCCACAGGTGAGTGATGGGGAAGGCACACTATGTGGGACCAGCTTTCTCTGTGAGAACTAGGATACACTTTGTTTTAAAGGACAGCTTCTAAACCTCTGTCCATGGAGCAGTCTAAGATGAGACCATGTGTGAAGAACGGTGTGTATCTTATTCTTACTTAATTAAATAAGCTCTTCTGTATACTTTTGCCTCTAGTTTGTTTTTAGATATTTGGCCAATATTGTTTTGCCATGCAAGAATTCTCATTTCTAGGTAGACAAATCTGCCAATATTTTTCATGTCTTACTTCTGAACAATATGCTAAAAATATATGATATTAATAATAGTACATGGCATTGTTTTAAAGAAATTTTCCTGACTTCACTCCTGATGTTTACACTTCATCCTAATATAAACAATAAAATAGTAGTTCAGCTTGTTTTAATATGTGGCAAAGCAGTGGCCCCAACAATATTTGTGAAATAATTCATCCAGTGACTTGAAAACTATTTATTCTATTCTAAATTCTTATATGTATTTGGGTCTATTAACGAGTCTTGTTTTATTTGAAATGACTTCTTTAAAAATTTTTTATTATAATGTATATGAAAATGTATATTATTTATTATGTGTGTGTCATGGCACACGTGGAGATTAGAGAGAAGTCTGCAAAAATTAATTCTCTCCTTCCCTTATATGGGTGCTAGGAATTTACCTCAGTTGGTCAGGCTTGACAGCAAACATCTTTACCTGATGAGCCATCTCACTGGTCCAGAAATGACTTCTTATGCTCTAATGTCATAGTATCTTAATATTACATATTTTAGTATTTGTTAGCACTGAATCCAGTGGGTCTTTCTGTCACTGTGGGGAAGTTCTTTTTTTTGACCCATCTAGAACCGAGGCCACTAGATGTAGATATTGTACCTTAACAACTTAAAATTTATTTTATTTAACTTTATTAAGTAACTTAAACTTGTGGTTCAGCCATGGTGAAGTCTATGTGTAATTCCAGCATTCAAGGGAAGAAACAAGAAGCTCTCCCAGTTCCCAGATGTTTGCTGGTCTTTCCTTGATAGGGATAATGGTCTGCTAGGCAGAGGAAGGCTCCAAAATCCAAAGGTCACATGTGGATTCTGCATAAAGACAAATAGACAGAGTATCGACAATTTGGTGTATCAGTCAGGTTCTAGGAAAGACAGAAGGAAGGGTGCAATCATCTTTATTTGATTGTTTTGTTTTTAAGACAGAGTCTTACAGAGCAGCTCTGGTTGGCCTAGAAATGATTGTATATGCCAGGCTGGCCTTAAACTCACAAAGATCCTACCCTTTTCTGCCTCCTGAATGCTGGAATTAAAGGCATGTGCACCACACTTTACAGTTGCAATCATCTTTAAATTGTTGTTTCAAATGTGAGATGGATACTTGTTGTCCTGTCCTTATCTAATATTTGGGACTCGTAAATTAATTTCTATAACTGTGCCTATGTGGCAGTGATATCACTTTGCCATTAATGTAGCTTTATTAAGCTAAATTGTTATCTAAACATGAGGGAAGTAGAGAAGGATAATCCTGGAAAACAGAAAGTGGGATTTTTCTTTTTATGTTAAATTTGGGGACTGACAATATTGTTTGTATTCATGTCTTTTTAATTTTTAAATTTTATTTATTATTAGTGAGGGAAAGATAGCATGATATGTATATGTATGGAAGTCATAGAACAATTTGTAGAGTAATTTCATGTTTTCTATTTTTGCATGGAGTCCAGGTATCAAACTCAGTTTGTCAGGCTTACATGGCAAGTACTTTGCAAACCGAGCCATCTCTCTGGCTCAACCATGTTGGTTAAGATACTCTCTCTGCCATAGATGGGCCTGAGTGGTATGGTTGTTCCTGGTTCCTGCCCTCTGACTCAACTTGACTCCTTATGCTTTCTGGAATCTTGATCATTATTATCAAATTTCTGCTCCTTCTCATGATATTTTTGTCCCCTAGGCTGACTCCTCTCACGAAGAAGTAATCTTGTCCAGGTGTAGATGAGACTGTTGTCTGGCCTTTCAGTTTATGAGTCAGCCTTGAGTGTGTTTTGTGTGAGGTGCCTTCCAAATGCTTTCCTGTAGATAGTGTTAATTCTCGTAGTACCTTTACGGGGCCTTGATTTTATGTGTAAGGAAACCAGGTCTAAAATTAACCTTTGTTTCTTAACTCAGTTTCCTTCTTTCTTTGATTTCTTTCTTCCTTTCTTTCTCTGGTGTATGTGTGTACATGTGTGCGTGTGTCTCTGGGTGTAAGTCTCTGTGTGTATATTTGTGTATCTGTTTATGGGTACACATACACACTTGATTATGTTGAGGCCAGAAGTCAATGTCAGGTGTCTTTCTTGATTAGTCTTCCATTTTGTTTTTTGAGACACCACCTCTTACTGAATCCGGAGCTCAATGATAGGCTAGAAAGATAGGAACCACCCACCTGTCTTTGTTTCCTAGGCACTGGGAATGCAGCTGTGCATTGCCATACTTGACCTTTTACATGGGCTCTGGTGCACATACTTGCATACCACTGAGTCATTTCCCCAGCCCCTTAACTTGGTGGGGTTTTTGTTGTTGTTTGTTCTGTTTTTCCTCCAAGTCCTTCGCTCTGCCACCCTTTCCCTGTAGAGAAGCACAGAGCTGGATGCATGGGTAGGGCTTGGATGACCCAGGGGTGGCATTTACTCATGTCTCTGTTCCTTTCTAGGTGGCAGACATGTTGTTGGAGCTCTGTGTCACTGAGTTAGAAGATGTGGCCACAGACTCACAGAGTGGCCGTCTTTCTTCCCAGCCTGTGGTAGTAGAGAGTAGCCATCCCTATACAGATGACACCTCTACCAGTGGCACAGTGAAGATACCAGGTATGTGGACCAGCCCTGGGAAGGGCTGCAAGGTCCCCTGTCTGTAGAAGAGCTTGTTTTGTAGCCACTTTCAGGGGAACAATCATTTATTTCCCTTTTCTGAAAAATAAAGGAATAGGATTATTTTAGATCCTTCCAAAATGGTAGTAAAATAAAATGCAACACAGAAGCTACACTGTATTAGTTTGCTTTTTGTTGCTATGATAAACACCAATACCAAAAGCAGCTTGAGGGGAAAGGGTTTATTTGACTTTACCTCCAGGTCACAATCCATATTGAGGGAAGTTGGGGTGGGAACTCAATCAAGATCTAAAGCCATAAGGGATGCTGCTCACTGTCTGCTCACATGCTTGTGCTCCACTGGCTTTCTTAGATATCCCAGACCTGGCTGCTGTGTTGTTTCTAGGCATTTTTGATGCACAGAGATAAGCTGAATGCTTAGATACACACAGTCACTCACTTGTCTGTGTATGATGACACTTCACTACAGTTGTAAAGTGTCAGGCTTCTACACTAATACTGTTCTTATATATCTACATCTTTGATGATGCTGTCCACAGTGGGCTGGGCCTCTCACATCAATCATCAGTCAGAACAGTCTGACCTGCAGCTCCTCAATTGGAATTCCCTTTGGTGACTTTAGGCTTTGTTAAGTTGATAGCTGGACCTAACTGGAACATACATCAAATAAAAATTTAACGATTCAACTATCAGGTGAATGAATGTGTAGTGAAGACCTAGGTCTAAAGTCAGCTGTCCCCACATCCTGTGAAGTAAAGTCATTCTGATGTTGAGCACTTCAGATTTTTAGTTTCTTCCTCCCCTTTCCCCCTGCACTGTTCCCTTTTACCTGCTGCATGGTTTATCTGTTGAGGCAGTCAAGAGGCTGAACTTACCCTCCTTGAACAAATCTACCTTTGCACATGCTCACAACTCAGCATGCTCCTCAGCCTGCTCCTTCTGACTCAGGGTGCCTTGTTTCATCCATTTGGAAAACTGTTCTGATTTCTGCCACCTCAGTAAAGCACCTGCTGTCTGCACATTGCTCCTTAAAATGTCAGCTGTTACTGCTCAGCATCAAGATTATTGATTCTTTGTGGGGTTTCAGGGTTGGTGGAGGGTTGACAAGTAGTGTTGTTCTAATTGAATTGCTTTTATCTTATCAGCTGGAATACTTCATAAAGATATTTTCTCTCACATTTTAAGTTGACTACCTAGGGATAGTGTCTACATGAGAAAGGCAAGATGCAGGCTTTCCTTATGGTTACTGTGTTTTAGGAGAATGAATCCTTCTTTCCTCTGTCACTTTTCCAAAGTGCCCATATAGTATTTGTGTGTTTATATCATTAAGAACTTGTTGACAGTGTGGCTTGCAAAATGTTTCTGGTGGTTTGTTGGTAGCTTCCATGCAATCTACAGTGGCAAAGAAGTATAGGGTTGTCCTGTATGTTTTGCCTTCCACCTAGGATTGCCATTATTTTAAGATCACAACCTTGTGCTAAGAGACTTACTGCCATTTTGTTGCCACTGTTTTTAAACACCTTCAGTGACAGAAATGAGCCTGATTGGTAGATGAACATAATGACTGACTTTTGTATGGACTGCAACTGTAAAATGCAAACGTGTTGTCTACTACCCTTGTTCCATCAGATCTGCTTCTCTTTTTTCATGTCAGATCCTGATCAGGACAGAGTTGAGATGTCTGTTACTGGCAAAAATCAGTTATTAGAAACAAATGTGACAGGATCTCTTCTTTCTTCACATCTTGCTAACCTTTGTCTGAACTCTTTAATCCATTGCAGTAGCTTTAGATATAATGGCTTCATTTAGTTGGTCTGTAGCCTTAGTTTTACGGCATCAAATGTTCCTTCCTCAGGCTGTTGTCTGAACATGCAGTACATTCTTCTGTAGCTCCCAGGTCAGTCTTGTCCACTAGAGGTTGAACTTGAAAGGTTGCTTTTCTACTGTTAGGCTCTTGGATCACTTACTCATCTGTGGCAGGGTGAACAAGTTAATGTTTCCTCTTTTAAGTTATTGTCCTTTTCTGTAATAAAAACTTGTATTCGAGTATATGTTTACTTTAGTCACTCTAGGTAATATTTACAGATACAGGGTGTACTTTTAGCGCCCAATGTTCTTTCAGAGCATTTTCTTGAATCAGTTCGTGATGCTCTCCCCGTAACTTAATTCTCTTTTCGGGCATTATGATATCTCTGTGTTGGATGTCTTGGGTTTAATGCTGGTTATATCTTTCCTTGGGACTCTGATGTATATTCTGAGTCTTCTTTTTCTGTTTTAAGTCTTCATTTTGGACTTTTTAAAAATTGTAAGTTATTTTGAATTTTAGCACGGATATATTTTGGTTTTCTAATTTTTATCTGTTGCTCCTTTCTGTTTTGAGACTTTCTGTCTATGGTTTTGAGATGATGGTGGCAGTCATGGTGGTATGTGGAACCTTTCTGGCCAATGTTCATTATCTGTAGGGGTATGACCCCAAACTTTTGTTTCTTTCTAACAGTAGTTTTTAATACTTTTATTTTGTTCATTTTAAATGTGTAGTATTGAACTTTCAGAATGAGGTAGGGCTTATGAAAGTATTTTTTTTTGTCTAGTTTTGTTTTCATTTTAATCTGTTGCACTTTTATGACAATGAAACTTAAAAATAGTTCTGTTCATGGTAGCACAAGCCTTTGATCTGAGGAGGCAGAGACAGACTTATGAATCTTGTGAGTTCCAGGCCAGGCAGGACTACAAAGTGAGACTTAGTCTCAAAACCACAAAAAATGGCTGGGGTTATAGTAGTGCATGCTTTTAATTCCAGTACTCAGGATTAAAAGTACTCTGTCAGGAGGCAGAGACAGGTAGATTTCCGTAAATTTGAGGCCAGCCTGGTCTATACAGTGGATTTCAGGATATCTAGAGCTTCTTAGTGAGACAGGGTCTCAAACAAGTCAAAAACAAGTAAATGAAAACAACAGAACCCAACCTAACCATCAGAACAAACAAACAAACAAAATATACACATACCCATTTAAAAGCTAAAGTGGCAGCTGGGAAAGTAAAGTGCTTGCTGTGTATCATGAGGGCCTAAGTTCAGTCCCCAGCCCATGTAAAAGAAGTGGCTACATTGGACTCCAGCCAATGGAGACAGAGGCAGATGGATCTTAGGGACTCATTGGTCAATCAGCCTAACGGAATTGATGAGCTATAGGCCAGTGACAGACCCTATCAAAAACCATGGTACACAGTGCCTGAAGAACAGCACCTGCTTTGTCCTCTATACAGACAAATAACCACACATACATAGAAATACTGTTCACATACATGCAATAAAAATTGAGTAGGAAGTATTTCTACCTAGATCTTAAATAAAAATCATGTGAGTAGCTTCCTTTTCTGTTTCTCACTTCATACCCTTCTACTAACCGTATATATGTTCCAAATTCAATAATTTCTTAGTGACTCCAGGATCTCTGAGCCAGTCTAATATATTTGTTTTTCTCCCACTCACTTCTTATGTCCCCTCACACAACATTCAAATATGTCTCTAAAAACTAGTCAGAGCTGTAGTCCTCCATGAGGAACTGCACAGTGTATCCCTATGACTGTCAGTGTAATCTAAAGTCCTGTACAAGGCCAGTCACATTCTCTCCTTTGTTCCCATTCCTTTTCAAGGGTCTCTCCTGATTGTTCTTACAAGACGTTAGATACCAAATTTGTGAGATTTTCCACTAAGCAGTTCTCAGTAAACAGCAGCTGGGTGTCTAGCAAGTCAGCTAAGTTCTACCACTACCAGAATACCTAAAGGGTGCAGTCCCACAAGTCTGTCCCTGCTTTAGATGTCACCTTACAGTTAACATCACATTTAGCTATAAATCAAAAGTTCACACAATGCGATTGTGTTAGTTACTTGAAGTAGTCAGCTTATAAAATGTAAAGGTTTATTCTGCCTGGCAGTTATGGAGGTTGCAGCACATAGTTTGCACAAAGCAGCATGTTGTGAGAAAACATGGGGGTGGAACACAAATAACCCACCTCACAGCCAAGAAGCAGAGGAACAGGAAGGAGCCACAGTCCTTTCCATGGGCACACTCCTAAAAACTTAAGGGCTTCCAATAAGGCCCAGCCCACCTCTCACAGTGCCAAATGGGGGACCAAGTTTGTAACTTACAGAGACGATCTTATGGTTCTACTGCAGTGAAGAGATACCATGACCCAGGCAACTCTTATAATGACCACATTTAATTGGGACTGGCTTACAGATTCAGAGGTTCAGTTGATTATCATCAAGTGGGGAGCATGACAGCATCCAGGAGGCATGGTACAGGAGGAGCTGAGGGTTTTACATCTTCATCTGAAGGCTGCTAGGAGAAGACTGGCTAGGACGAGGGTCTTAAAACCTACAACCCCATAATGACACACCTACTCCAACAAGGTCACACCTACGCCAACAAGGCCACACCTCCAAATAGTGCCACTCCCAAGCGAAGTATATTCAAACCATGACACAGACTTAGGGGATCATTCAAGATCACCCTTAGCACTGTCTTGAAAGCATCATAACATGATGTTTCGTCAGGTGATAGAATTGCAGCATGGAAGTTGTAGAGGTGTGAGAACAGAACAGCTCAGCCATGTGGAGTGGTTCTCTGGCCTTTTAGTCTACGGGCAGAGCCTTCTGTTGGGGTCTAGTGCTGGGGAAGGTGGTTAGCCTCAGGCTGTGGTTTTGGTGCTGGTTCTTCCCCAGCTCCTACATGCAGTTCTAGGCTCACTCTTCCTACTTTGCTTAACCGTGACTTTCACTTGCTCTCTGGAGTTTCCACTGTGTTTTCTGCTTGCTTATACTCCAGGTGCAGAAGGACTCAGGGTGGAGTTTGACCGGCAGTGCTCTACAGAGAGGCGCCACGATCCTCTCACTGTCATGGATGGTGTCAACAGGATTGTGTCGGTGCGGTCAGGTGAAGAAGGGAGGGCAAGTAGGGACAGTCCTCTTCACTTGTGCTCCATAAAAGGAGTTGTTAGCATAAGACAGGATACTGGTGCTTCATTCCATGGGAACTTTAAGGAAGGTATAGCAAGATAATGAGGTGTAAAACAGTAGGTTTTGTTTTCCTTTTTCCAGTACTTTGAATCAGATATGATCTGTGTGATGTGTGCTTCATACCACTTTCAGAGAGTGTTACTGAGTGTCTGGTGTGAGAGATGTCCCGGCAGTTGGAGAACCATAGGCGTGTGAGAGTACTGGGGCCCACTTAGCATTGTTGGCATGCTATAGAATGTAAAGGAATTCTGCTCTGACTGATAGTAAGGGTTTGGCTTGCTATCATGGAGTGCTGTGCCTGGAGGGTGGACAGAATGTACATGGGAGACACGGTGTGTGGTCTTGTCTACTCGCCTGAGCTCCATGAGGTCAGGAAGACGGTCTAATAAACTTATTTAAAACTTTGAACATTTTAGAATTGTTAATGCATGGACATGTTAATGCACATATGTGAATCTTTTCAGATCTTCTTTAGTGGGGAGGGGGTGTGTGAGTGTCCGTGCATGCATGAATGTGTGTGTGTGCTACCCCTACACATGTATATACACGTCTCTGTGCTAAGTATTGAACCCAGGGTCCATGTGCATGCTAGGCAAACACTCCACCACTAAGCTCCATCTTTTATAAAGGCTGAGGAATTTTCCCTGTGAAAGACTAAGTCTGTAAATGGTTGCGGTTTTATGAGCTGCATGTGGTCTTTGTCTTTACCACTCAGAGTGTGTGTAGAAAGCAGCATGACTATGTTGCATGATGTCACATAAGTCCTTACTCTAATGTGGTACAGTGATGATGGACATGGCTTGTCTGGCATTTTTATAAATGTCTGTCAAAAGAGTTCTAGTAGTGTTGTTATTTGTGCTGGTCTCACTGTCTCGAGATGGAAGTCCAACAGGCTGTGTGTATGCTCTTGCCTCGTGCTTCTACACTACATCATTAAGTTGTGCAGTCTCTCCTGATCTTTTAAGAGACCATTATACAGCTCTACAGATCCTTGGATCTGACCAGGTTACTCTAGTCCTTCCTTGAGTACAGCCTGTCTTGGCCATGCTGAATTGTTTACAGATGCCTCTTGTGGAAATTTTGGGACTTTCTGCCATTGCCTAACTACCTGCCATACTCAGAAGCATTATGAGAACCTACCTTGGTGTGGGCCTGCTCTCCCTGCAGGTTGTCACAGTGCATCTCAGCTGTGTACATAATCATTTCCCCATGTGGTAGTAGTTTCTTTTGGGGCAGCATGTATGCATGTGCCTTCAGGTTCTCCAGTACTCGATCAGAGGCTGAATTGAAATCTGTGGAAAGGTAGAATATCTTCAACCCACTGTGAATGGAAGCTTGAGAAGTCTTGGGCTAGAGGAGCCTGCTTTTGAAGCAGTGTGAACAGCTGTGCTTTGCATCTAGGGAGTCTCCTTGGTGAGATGGTGGATTCATCTTAATTCCAGGGTATACTTTCCTCTGCTAGGTCGAGAATGGTCTGACTGGTCAAGTGAGCTTCGCATCCCTGGAGATGAGCTGAAGTGGAAGTTCATCAGTGATGGGTCTGTGAATGGGTGGGGCTGGCGCTTCACAGTTTATCCCATCATGCCAGCCGCAGGTAAGATGGGTTGTGATTATCACCCAAGGAAGTGGAACTATGCAAAGTTTCCATTCTGTGATTTAAGGATTGTTGTATGCCCTGGGAAAAAACAGTCAGAGTCCCTACCTGGGGAGGATCAGACAAAGATCCATCTAAGCTTTCCACTTGTCAGGGTACTTAGCCCTGTTCTCACCTCATAGGAGTTGGTGCTGGTTGTGTTTACTAATGCTTTTGGGTCACAGCTAAATGCCAGTTTGAAGATCGTGGCTCAGGGTTGGAGACAGTTGCTCGCTGGTAGAATGCTTGCAAAGCATGCACAAGCCCTAGGTTCAATCCCTAGTACAGAAAAACAAGCAAGCAACAAACTAGCAAAAAGCTTGACTTATGGGACTTGGACAGCAGTGCTGTCTGTTCTTCCCTTACACTGTATTCTAGTGGGAGTTGAGTTTGTGAGTTTATCCATAGGAAGTGGTCCCCACCATATCACATAGGGACATTTGCAGGACTTCTTTACAGGCCCTAAGGACCTCCTCTCGGATCGCTGTGTCCTCTCCTGTCCGTCCATGGACCTAGTGACTTGTCTCCTGGACTTCCGACTCAATCTCACCTCCAACAGAAGCATTGTCCCTCGCCTTGCTGCCTCTCTGGCTGCATGTGCTCAGCTGAGTGCCCTAGGTTAGTGGTACCTCCATGGTCATCCTGTCTGTTTACCTAAGTTGAAGAAAGTAGTCCAGATTCTAAACTGTCCCTGTGTGTTGTTTCAGCTGCCAGCCACAGAATGTGGGCTCTTCAGAGACTGAGGAGACTGCTCACCACAGAATTTGGGCAGTCAATTAACATAAACAGGCTGCTGGGAGAGAATGATGGGGAAACAAGAGCTTTGGTATGAAGAATTAGGGTTTCTAGACCTATGACCCTTTCAGGATAAATGTGCTGCTATAATCATTAAAACCGCTAAACCAGAGAGAAGAATTGGGAATTCTGCCTACCTGTCAGGCAGCTTTGTCATATCTAGCCTTTTTTTTCATGCTGCTGAATATGCTAAGTTCAAGCTGGACTGATTTTTATTTTAAAGTCTGTGTATTGACCCCTGTGAATATTGTATTAGATTTTACAAGCCCGATTGACTACATCCCTTTTATCGTGCTATAAAGAGAAGGTTCCATTCCAGCTGTTTCTACCATAGGAGAAGATGAGCAGCATTTGCCAAAGAAGGGAAGTTCCCTGGGAGTGGCTAACTAAAACCAAGACCAAACATTCTGAATGTTGATACTTTCTTTGCATTATGTACACACCCTTTCCCAAGTTGAGAATTTAAATTCTCATTTCCCTTTTTAGGGGATATAAAATCTTTTACTTATAAGGAACAAAACAAACCCAGGACTCACTTGGGTTTCTATTATTGAATATTGTTTTGCTGTTTTTAAGAGCTTTACAGGCAGTGCTCTTGCTGCTTTGGTGAAAGGCCTTCCAGAAGCTTTGCAGAGGCAGTTTGAGTATGAAGATCCTATTGTGAGAGGTGGCAAGCAGCTGCTCCATAGTCCATTCTTCAAGGTAATAGTTTACTTACTTTTAAAGTGGTCATATAGAGCTCTTTGGATGGGAGAGCCACTGAGGGCTGTTATGGTAGTGTGTTGTGTCACAGACCTGTTTGGGAGCAGTCCTTAGTATTACTGAAGGGCCATATGAAATATATCTCAGAAAGTGGTTATGTGATCAAAGCCTTTATTGCAAAGGCTGTTTTTCCTATTAGCATGCTTTGAGTTACACAGGTGGTCTTAGTTATTGTATGCTGTGGGTGCCATAACTGTTGTTGGTATGAGATCCTGTGTCTCCTGAAGCTGTTGTCTTCCTAGAAACTCACTCTGAGAAAGTGAGGAGCTTGGGAACACGGGTCCTCATAGCTCAGCATGGAGGCCTTCTCTCAAACATTAGCTTTCTTTCTAAGAATCCCTGTGTTTCCAATTTTTTGTTGACTGTAGGTGCTAGTAGCTCTTGCTTGTGACTTGGAATTAGACACACTCCCTTGCTGTGCAGAGACCCATAAATGGGCTTGGTTCCGAAGATACTGCATGGCCTCCCGTGTTGCTGTGGCCCTGGACAAAAGAACACCATTGCCTCGTCTGTTTCTTGATGAGGTAATGTGTGTGTGTGTGTATGTATGTGTGCACGCACATGTGTGTGTATGTGTGTGTGTGTGTGCATAATTTTTGGAATTGCTTTTGAAATGTATGATGAAAAAGATTCCAGTGTAAAAAAGACATAATTTTGCCCAAAAAAAAAACCCATAAGAAACTTATAGATAAAAACAGGTAATGTAATATGTAAATTTCAATTAACATTAGATTTTAGCAAAGTAACTAAGATAAAATGATATGGTATTGACTTTTTTTATCATCTAAGAGTTGATGTGATAAAACTGATTTTTCATACTAAGTATAAAATCATGATGTTGATGTTGCTATAACTTCATATTAACATTTAAAGGTTTCCCCTGTCTTCTTACTATAACTGATTTTATTCTTTTACAAGGAACAAAGAGTAAGTCAGGTCTCACATAGTATCTTGGGTTAGACTGGAGCTCACTCTGTAGCCCAGGCTGTCCTTACTAGGATTGCAAGAGTAAATCACCACACCCAGCTTATTTGTTTGACTCATTATTTCAAAATAATGTTCCATAGGTTGCTAAGAAGATTCGTGAATTAATGGCAGATAGTGAAAGTATGGATGTTCTCCATGAAAGCCACAGCGTCTTTAAAAGAGAGCAAGATGAGCAACTTGTGCAGTGGATGAACAGGTATGAGTTCAGAAATAAGAGAAAATGGTGTACGTAAGTGTTTTTACACAAAGTTCTTTTACATCAAATGTTCTTGGAATGTTTGATATAGGCGACCGGATGACTGGACTCTTTCTGCTGGTGGTAGCGGAACCATTTATGGATGGGGGCATAATCATAGGGGGCAGCTTGGAGGGATTGAAGGTGCAAAAGTAAAAGTTCCCACTCCATGTGAAGCACTTGCAACTCTCAGACCAGTGCAGTTAATTGGAGGAGAGCAGACACTGTTTGCTGTGACAGCTGATGGGAAGGTAAGGGTGCAGTGTGTGTGTGTGTATGTGTGTATGTGTGTGTGTGTGTGTGTGTGCATGTGTGCATGTGTGCATGTGTGCATATGTGATGCTTCCTTAGGATTGAAAATGTGGCTAGAGATTTTGTTTCTTGGATGTGTAAGGACTTAAAGTACTACCTGAAAAATGATTATGATAGCACCAAAACCAGGTAGCTATCTTAAATATTTCTGTATAATATTTAGATATATTTTAATTACTTTATTTATTTTATTTTGAAGCACACCACATCCGTTAGCTGTATCACTTTTAAAAATTAAAGCACTTGCTGTCTTACTCTTCTTTTTGTAATGCAGCTCATAGATCTCTGTAGATGGCTGCCATCTATATGGGAGCTTTTGTTCCTTTTCAGTTTGCATGCTTATATATTTTTTTCCTTTTGGATAAGAGGAAGGGAGCTATAGTTGGAAATTGGGGTACAAGATTGGATGGGGGAAGGGAGCAGAGTTCTCCAGTTATGTTTTGTGGACATGCCACCAGTAACCCATAGGATTTTCTCCTAAAAGGCCTCACATTTCAAAATTCTCACCATCTCTCAGTAGCACTACCCTAGGGAACCAAAGCTTTTACACATAGATATTTGGAGAACAATTCTCCAAACCATAACAGTATATAAAGTCTTAAATTTTCCTGTGATTTTGGGCTTAAGTTAAAATTTTCTCTGTGGTGTAAAATGTATTGAATGGTGATTCTTTGCAGTAATTACTAAATACAGGAATATTTCTATTTTCTCATCTTAGCTCTATGCTACTGGCTATGGTGCTGGTGGAAGACTGGGGATTGGAGGGACAGAGTCAGTGTCTACTCCAACGTTACTGGAGTCCATTCAACATGTGTTCATTAAGAAAGTTGCTGTGAACTCAGGAGGAAAACATTGCCTTGCTCTCTCTTCAGAAGGAGAAGTTTACTCTTGGGGTGAGGCAGAAGATGGGAAGTTGGGACATGGCAACAGAAGGTACTGTGTGAAAATACCATTTTCAATGTTTATTTGGTTTGGTTTAATGCTGACACACTGTATAGGTCTCTGTCTTTTAGAACATGTGCAATAACCTGCTCAAATTAGAAATGTTCACGACTTACTTGTCAGAAATAGGTTCACATGTCACTGTATGTGGGCATACCTGTATGACTCCTGTAGTGGGAGGGAAACATTAAGTCTTAAAGTTTTTACTTACTGGTTTTATGAATACTAAGAATATTTTTGAACATCACCTTGTTACTCTTCAGTGAGTCACATTGGCATTTTGGATATTATTACATGATACCAAAATTACGAGTATAGAAGAGATGGAACAAGTAATAGAGAAGGCACCATTCTTCAAACCAAGCAACCAGACTCAGTTGTTTTTTAAAAAAAATTATTGAACCTACCGCCCAAAGTAGAAATGGATACGTATCTTAGAAATAACTAAAAAACACCAGACAAAACATGAAGCAACCTGAAAGTCACTGACTATCAAACAGCAATATAGAATTCCCTTAGAAATAGGAAACAAGACTAGTTCAAAAAGTTTCTCCAGTATATCATCAGTAGACAGTTCCCAAGTCACAGGGTAGGAAGGAGAGACTTGGCAGATAGTGACAGAATCCTGTAGGTTAGAGACGAGAGAACTGGAGATCTAAGGAGGTCAAAAGAGGTAAAATATGCAGAGTACCACAGAGGAGAGAGCTGTATTAAGAGACCCCAGAGACCCTTAGAACCTAGTAAGGCCGTCATATATGAAGCCTAAGAAAACCACTCCAAATGATTGAAAGAAACAGTCCTTTGTGCTCACAGAGAAGAGATAGAGCTCCCAGAAACCTCATAGTTCATATGTAATTAGATTACAGAAAGGAATAGCGAAAGACTAGAGCATTAACTTAGATTACCATCTGTAACTCCAATTCCAGGATGTTGTGACCTCTGTGGGTACGGAACATACTGTACACGTACATGCAAGCAAAACATATCAATAAATATATAAGTGCCCAATAACAAGAGAAACAATGAATCATATACTATTAGTATGATTCCTCTACCAAAACATAAAAACTGAAATCATTTTTATAAGTAATGGAGCTCAGAGCTCAATCATTTTTATGACTATAAATAAACCTCTTATCAAAGTAAACTTTATAATGACCTATAGCCACTCAAAAATTGCAAGTATGCAGAAGAACAAGAAGTACACCCATATGAAGAGAAAAACCAGTCAGTCAAAAGCGGTTCAGAAAGGACGCAGTGATAGAATGTATTTATTTTAACCACATACCATGTTGATAATAAAAAAGTAAAAGCTTGAGCATGTTAAATAGAGCCTAAAAATTATTTAAATGCTCAAATCAAAGTCTTAAAGATGAAGAATACATTCACAAAAAGAAAAAATTAATTATATATAGTTAATGCCTGAGTTGATGTTGTAGAAAAAAGACCAGAGAAGTGGAAGACGTAACCATAGAAAATGTCCAGAGTGAAAACGCCAGGGCAAAAAGGAATGTATAACTGACAGAACACTAGGGAACTATGGGACAATCCATATGACTTAATGTATTCATAGCTAGAACATTTAAAAGAGGGAAATGGGAGATTTTAAAGAAATAACTAAAACTCCAAATTGATTAACAGCGATAAACTTATAGATGCAGTAATTTTAAAGAATCCCAAGTGAAAGAAACATGAGGGGGAAAATAAAGATGGCACCAAAGTATATTGACCGAATTTTGAAAAGCAGTTGGGATGGGTCAGATTAAAGTGTGGTAGGTTAAAGGCATAGTTAAAGGAGTAAGAAGCCATAATAAAGTAATACAAGAGGTGTGAAACTAGAAAACAGTCAACTAGGAAACAGACAGCAAGGTGACATCTTAAACCTGAGTATGTTTATATCAGGTGTAATGGTCTGAACGCTCAGAAGTCAGACTCTGGCCTGGGGAAATGGCTTAGTGTGTTTTGAGCTTGGGGACCTGAACTTGACTCTCTGAACCCATACTTTAAAAATAAAATAAAATGAAATAAAAAAGGCATGGTGGCATACACGTGTAACTCAGAAGGCAGAGACAGGCAGATCTGTGAGGCTCAATGGCCAGTCAGCCCAGCAAACTGGACAAGTTTTAAGTCAGTGAGAGATGCTGTCTTAACAAAAAGTGGATGTCCTCTAAGGAACAACACTTAAGATTGCCTTTGGTCTCCATACCCACACATGTGCATGACCACTGCACACACTCAAAGTAAACCAAGGTCAAAATGATGGGAAAATGTATGTACTATGCTAATACTAACCAAAAATAAACAAACTCACAATATTGTGTATAATATATGTTCACAATAAAGAATGTTGACAGAGATTAAAATGTTCCTTCATGATGAAGTATTTCTTTAGATCATCAAGAAAACATTGTAAATTGTAAGCTAAGTCACCTAATAGACATTGATGAAAATAAAAATATGGAGCTAGACAGATGGCTCAGTGGTTAAGACTACTGGCTGCTCTTGAAGAGATCAAGCTCAGCTTTCATCCCCAGCACTCACAGGGTGTATCACAACCATCTGTAATTCCAGTTCTAGGGATCCAGCACTGCCCTCTGAGGGCCTTGCACAGGCATACTTGTAAGAACTGCTAGAACTTCAAGGATAAATTAGACAAACCCCCATGGTCGTGGTTTTAAATATCCTTCCTTTAATAGTAGATAAAACAGTATGAAATACGTAAAGAAAAAAAAAATGGATCAGTACAAACTTGACCAAATTAACATTTCAGGAAAACTGTGACAAATTTTTATCTTTTCTTATGTGCATGGAACACCTACAAATGTAGACTATGCATTTGACCACAAAATAGCAGATTTTGCATAGGAAAAGGATTTAAGTTCATACAAAACTTCTTCTCTTGTCTGCAAAGAAATTAAATTGGAAATCAGCAAATCTTTGAAAATCATCTGTACTCAATCCTAGCTAAGATGTGGAAAAGGAGTAAAAGCATCAGAAAAACTGATAGATCAAAGAATGAGTGAAAAATCAAATGCTAAATAATTTTAAACAGAGAGAACATGAAATTGATTTACCAAATGTGTGAGATCCAGCAAAAGCAGTAAGTATTTTGAAGGAAACTTGTAATGTGAAATGCCACTTTTAAAGACAGTAGCAAAAATGGTACAAAACCGTAATTTCAGGATATATACACTATACTGCAGGAATTCTTGTAGGAAGAAAGACAAACAACTCAGTGAGCAGAAAAAAAAGGGCCAGAATCTTTAATACAGAAAGCTAGGAAGGAGGTAGTAGGAAAATAGAGAGGAAGACTGGTTCTTGGAGGTAAATACAGTTAGCAAAACTTCTATCAAGACTGATGGTGAAGAGATTTCCGTTCACCGGGATTTAGGAGATGAAGTATTTTCATGCATAGTATACAGTTGTCAAAAGATCACAAAGTAAAGCTGGGAATGTAGCTTAGTGGTTAAGCCATCTTCCTAGCTTACCTCAGGACCTGGTGGTCTCTAGGACCACCAAAATAAAATAGATCTTTAAAATTCAAACAACAAAACAACCACAATAGAAAAGAGTAAACAAATAACCTAGAAGTAGCAACCAAGTGTGATTATGTTTTCCTGTACTCAAGGTACTTGGCTGAGGCAGGCTAGAGGTCACATGAGTGGCCCCCCCTCCCCGAACTCTAGGCACTTGAAGACTGCATGCTGGCCCTGTTTCAAACAGCAGAAATCACAGTTTAATAAACAGCTTTATAGCAACAAAGATGACTTTTTAGAAGAATTGGACAAACTCAAAACCAAACAAAAACCCAACAACCCACAGACTCAAAAAACTAAATTTTTGGAGACACATCTCCCAAACCAAATGGCTGGTGATTTCTGATGTAATGTAACCTAATTTTTCAGAACACTCAGGATAAAGAACAATTCTCCATGATTTCTTTTTCTTTTGAAGACAGGATTTTGCTATTTAAAATTACTCAGGGTGGCCTCAAACCTATGATCTTCCTGCCTGGCCTCCTGGCATTACAGGTGTGTATCACCAAACCCATTTTGGGTTGTTTTGTTTGTTCTGTTTGTTTGGGGGCCTTTAGGATGTTGAGCAAATTTTCAACCATCAAGCTAGTCTTATACCCCAACTCATTATTATTTTAAAGACAACTTTACCTTTATCAAAAAAGACTCAGAAAGAATTCTTAAAATCTTAAGAAATCAAGTCCAACAGTATACAAAAGAATAATATTATATGATCAAATGGCATTTATGCCAGAATTCTTTATTTTCTTTTTGGTTTTTTTGAGACAAGGTTTCTCTGTGTAGCCCTGGCTGTTCTGGAACTCACTCTGTAGACCAGGCTGACCTCGAACTCAGAAATCCGCCTGCCTCTGCCTCCCAAGTGCTGGGATTAAAGGCGTGCGCCACGATTGCCCGGCCAGAATTCTTTTTCTTTTTTTTAAAATTTTTATTGGATGTTTTATTTACATTTCCTATGTTGTCCCCTTAACCCATCCCCCACCCACCCAGGAACCCCCAATCCCCTCACCCCTCCTCCTTCTTCTCTGTGGATGTAACCTCTATCTACCCCCCCCCCCACTCCCACCTCCCCACCCTCAAAATTCCCACCCCCTGGGGCATCCAGCCTTCATGCAGTCAAGGTTCTCTTCTTCCACCTATGCCCAGCAGGGCCCTCCACTCTTACATATTCAACTGAAGCGCTGGATCCCTCCCTAAGTGCTCTCAGGCTGGTGGTTTAGACCCTGGGAGCTGTGGTTGGTTGGTATTGTTGTTCTCCTCATGGTGCCGCAAATCCTTTCAGCTCTCCTTCAGTCTTCACTCTAACTCCTCTATTGAGAACCCCATGATCAGTTCAATGGCTAGCTGTGAGCATCTGCCTCTGAGTATGTCAGACTCTTGAAGACCTCTGAGGAGATATCCACATCAGGCTCTTATCAGCAAGCACTTCCTGACTTCCACATCAGCATCTACCTTTGGTGATTGCACATGGGATAGATACTCAGGTGGAGTGGTCTTCAGACGCCGGCCAGAATTCTTAAGATTAGGTCCACACTAGAAATTGAGTCAATATAGAAAGAACACATAGACATATAGCATATAATAATATCATATGATCAAATGGCATTTATGCCAAAATTCTTAAGATTGGGTCCACACTAGAAATTGAATCAATATAGAAAGAACACATAGACATAGTATGTTGAGCAGACTGAGTAAAAGCCAGGGGACACACACACACACCCCTACCTATCTACCTATACTCAAACAAAATCTTCACTGGCTCATAGTGCTTGCAAAAACCTATCATAGGTCTGGTTTGAAACTGTGAAAGCCTACTCTGGCATTCAGCTACCCTGTGTAAAGGTAGATAGAAATAATTACATTTTGATTTCAGGCTTAAATGATTCTTCTTTATTGACTTTATAATCACTTGACTGAGAGAGAATATTTAGAAACACACATTGAAAAAATAAGTAGCAAACAAATGTTTAAATTTAAGCAAGTGTTTAAATTTTAAAATATGGAAGAATAAATGTTTTAGTATATTTGTTGTATTCTTTTGCAGTCCATGTGACCGCCCTCGTGTCATTGAGTCTCTGAGAGGAATTGAAGTGGTTGATGTTGCTGCTGGTGGAGCCCATAGTGCCTGTGTCACAGCAGCTGGAGACCTCTACACGTGGGGCAAAGGCCGATATGGCCGCCTGGGGCATAGTGACAGTGAGGACCAGTTAAAGCCAAAACTGGTGAGAAGGTACTGGGTTTAAATGCCCAGGTCCAGGCTCAAGTGTCTGCTCATGCTGTAATATTGACATGGGGTAGGGGCCATTTGTCTTTGGTGCTACGTTCTTTCTATTTTAAAGTCAGTGATCATAGGTTTACCATTTACAAGTATTTTTTTATTCATGGAACATATATAGTCCTTGTAAGAGAGTGAATGATCAGTCTTCATGGTGGCGCATAGTTGGCTCACTGTGACCCCCACAGTTCAGATTTATATTCTTCATATAAATATAAATTTATATTGTCCATATAGAGAGGAATGCATTTCTACCTTAAATAATTATTAAGCTTTTTTCTTTGTAAAGTCTCAAGCATTCATAAAGCGGCAACACTATTATTATAAAGCCTCTTTTTAGTGATCATTATTTACTGTCAGCTGAACCCTGCATTTCTTTTTCCTGAAGGTGGAAGCGCTACAGGGGCATCGTGTCATAGACATTGCATGTGGCAGTGGTGATGCCCAGACACTGTGCCTCACTGATGATGATACTGTCTGGTCCTGGGGAGATGGAGACTATGGCAAGCTTGGCAGAGGAGGCAGTGATGGCTGCAAAGTACCCATGAAGGTATTTTCCATCTGGGCATCCCAGATCTCCAGCTTCTTTCCCTTCAGCGTGCTTCTTAGGAGCCTTCTGTTCATTGCAGAAAGTGCACTGGAGTAAGAAGTGACCCAAGGGGCCAGGACATTTGGATACCTTAGGTGCTGTTTGTGTCCACTTGGGAAAGGCATGTAATCCAGATGTGCTCCACAGAGCCTGTGGTTTTTAGTGTGTACATCTGCTTGAGATACAGAGCTAACCTGGGTTCCACTCACTTCAGTTCACAGTGGTAAATAGGGGCCATGTCATCTAATGTAGGCTATAGACTAGAGCTTGCTTCTAGTGGATTTGATCAATCTCAAGCGAAGAAAAGAGCCCATGTGTTGCCAAGTCCATAGGCTTAAGTTAGGGTCTACCTGTGCTGAGGGTGACTTGGCAATTTCTTAAAGCTGTGAGGTGATCTGACTGTCTTTGGTGGGTGGCTATAGAGATTGAGGGGAGAAGTATGTCTAGATCATATTAGGTCAGTGTGTTAGATCACCTTCTCTGTGCCTTGCAGTGTGTGAATACGGTGATGTGCTAGATCACCTTCTCTGTGCCTTGCAGTGTGTGAATACGGTGATGTGGTACAGCTGGGGTTCTATGAAAGAAGACTAGGACTTACGTATACTCAGCGTCCTTTCTTACTGTACAGATGTAGAACAGAGAGTCTCAGAACACAGGCATCCTAGGGCAGAATCAGACCAGGGGGTTCATATCAGGGGGACCTTCATGTGAGAGACCTAGTTCCAACCACATAGCTTTTGTTTTGGAGTTGTGCTTCTCAGTGCAATTGCTGTTGATTCTAGAATGACTCTTTTAGTCTAAGTCAGTTTTAAGTTTTTAAAGTGCATTCACAGTGAGGCATAGCACTATATTCCATAATCACAGTACTTCAGGTTGTAAATTCAAGGCTTAACTTGGGTTATATAATGAGACTCTCTAAAAGAAAAAAAATCAAATTAAAATCTGTTCCTTCACTCACACAGAATGCTCAATATTTATCTCAGGGTGGCACTCATTTCTGTCAGCTGTAGCCCTTCCCTTTTTCCAGTACAGGTATATTGTGACCTCATTGTAAGTTGTTCAGAATTTCTACTTTTATGAAGGAAAATGATTTGCCTTGGACTTGATTAGCTAAGGAAGGCTTTTTACATTTGAATATTAAGATTTTGAACATGGGAAAATCTGGAGGAAGATATTACTGATAGTCCTGGGACAGGGCAAGAGATCCAGACAGACTAGTTAAGAGAATGAGGTTTTAGTTAATTTTAAAATTAAATATGGGAAATTAAGTAGGAAGGCATACACAGATACCACACAGAGCAAAGTTTGCTGGGTGAGGAGAAGCAATGACTAGATAAGTGAGGCCTGACAGGATCCTAGACATGGGATGTAGAGGGTAGACACTGGGTGTTCATAGGGTCAGCACAGGTCATGGGATTGTCAACTGAGGGTGTGTTAATTATGCTGACCTGGTCAGAGGATCAGGACTGCAGTACCCCTGACCATCTCTCCCCGAGTCTCAGAGTCTGACAGTGCTGTAAGTAGATGAGGAAAAACACAGAGCTTATTGGAAACTGGTACTATCATGTCAGTCGTGGGAGAGAAGACTTGAGAATTCACCAGGTTCTTCCTGTGCTATATCACATTTCTGCTTCCTTCCTGAAGTTACTTTGGTTACATTGGATGTCAGTACTGTATTAAATATTCTATGTGAATACAGATTTTCATAGTTCTTATTAGATTTGGTTAGTGTCAATGTGATTATAGCAGTCAACAGTGACCTTGATGAAGCCTGCCTGATTGAGCCTTTTTCCTTTCTAGATTGATTCTCTCACTGGCCTTGGAGTAGTTAAAGTGGAATGTGGATCTCAGTTTTCTGTCGCTCTTACCAAGTCTGGAGCTGTCTATACATGGTATGTCAGACTGTGCAATGACACTAAAACCATATTTAAAATTTTTAATTTTGTTTGGGCATTTTGCTTGCATGTATGTCTGTGTACTACATGCATCCCTGGTGCCCACAGATGCCAGAAAAGCCATTATGTCCCCCTTGGAGCTTGATTTAGACATGATAGTGATTTATCCTGTTACCTGGGTCTGCTAGAAGAACAGTAAGTTCTCTTGATTGTTGAGCCATCTCTCCAGCTCCTAGAACCATTGAAACTGTTTTAATTGCCTTCTTGTTAACTTCTCTGACAGGCTGTGATTGGTTATAGAGCTTATACCATGAGGGTAGCTGCATGAAGGGTACAGGGTGGAATACAGATGACCGTACTCAGTAAGTTGCATGCTTTCCTTTTATGCAGGGGTAAAGGTGATTATCACCGGCTGGGCCATGGATCTGATGACCACGTTCGGAGACCTCGGCAGGTTCAAGGACTGCAGGGGAAGAAAGTCATTGCTATCGCCACTGGCTCCCTGCACTGTGTGTGCTGCACAGAGGATGGTAGGTTCAAGCCTGATGTTACAGAGCTGAGGCCTGTAACTCTAAGATTATCTCATGTAATTCAAATTGTAGTTCTAGAGACTGAGGGCAGGGTTTGACCCCCTCATCTTCAGTCCTCTGTGTTACCCTCATGAATATGTTGTGTTGTGTGGCTATGCAGAAAGGCCTAAGATACTGTCCTCAGACAGGCATCCTGTGGGTCAGTCCTTGGTATCTGGGAACTCTAGCCTGACAGTGCTCCCCCTTCCTCAGATGATGAGTGGGGCTCAGTGTGCCTGAACTGTTTGTATAATGTGGTCTGTGCTGATAGCTGGTTTCTTCTGAGGTCTGGGGCTTAGATTGTGCCAGGTGAACATTGTCCACCCCAGTGAAGATTCCTACTGTAGTCTGTAGCCATCATACCTGTGGATGGTTTGGCCTACCAGGCAGTTTAGAACACTGAGGCTCATACAGAGTTGAAAAATGTATTTCTCCATAATCTTGCTGGCCACAAGGGACAAAATGTCCGGGGTGGGGGGGTGTTACCACATAACCCAGGAGACCAGAACCATGGCAGCATCATTGAAAGCTTCAAAGAAAGGAATGAGCACTGTGCCATCAGGCCCAGCTTCCTCAGGGCTACACCAAAGATGATGGCAAACAGTACCAAGTTCAGAATGTTCATGCTCTCTACCACACATCCCAGCTGGAAACTGGTTGCTGGATCTCTCTTTGTGTACAGGTAGCAGCTTGCTGTAGATACTGATCTGGGTACAGATGAGGTAGCGTAAGAGTGGAATGCAGCAAACACCAGATTGGAGGAGAGAATAGTCCTCCCAAGATCTAGGGAGGAATCCAGCACCTCCTGTTGTCTCCAACTGAGCCTTTGATGGTGGCAAAGGTGCCCAGGAGCAGTACCAGAGACAAGCCCACTCTGAGTACATATGGAAAAAGAGCAGTACCCGTGCACCCAAGGACTCTCATGTCCAGGCTGGTGGAACCTCCAATCAGGCTGCAAACCAGATGATCAGCAAGCACAGCAGTAGCACTCTGGAGAAGGTGGAGGAAGGGGAAGGTGGTTAAGCGACAGCACACTGGGGGTAAGGAGATGGGGCTTCATTCAGTACCATCTGCCACCAAGACCACCACCAGCAGCACCAGCAGTTGGGCATGAATGCAGTGGTGTACCTGGTCCTGGGAATTGCTGCATACCTGCTAATCCACTGTGGTCCTGTCTTGAGCTTAGTGCTGGGCTACCCATTTGTAGTAGCATCCACAGTCACTACTCCCTGGAGTCAGCCTTTGCGTGATCAGCAGTTCATCCGAGCTGCAATCAGGGAGTTCCTTGAGAACCTGGAGAACTGAGGCTGAAACTTGGGAGGGGCCCTTGGAGTGTTGTTCTGTGCACTGATGCTTCTTTATTTTTCCTTATAGTGCTGGATTCTCAAAAGATAGGAGTTGAGAGTCCTGGGTTAGATTTTTGAGATCGGGGAAGGCTGGACATTTTGGATCCAGGAGTTCTTCAGGCTAGTACTTAGGTGTCTTCGGCTCTGGGAAGGCTTGAGGGTACCCAGGGGGCTGACATCTTCAGGAAGCTCAACCCAGGTGCTGTAGATCCAAGATGCCTGTGATCCCAGGTCCTGAGATACCAGGGCTAGGGTGCCTATATATTAGACACTGGGTACCAGAGCCCAGAGTGGGGTGGATAGAGGGTCTTGGGTCTGGAGAGAAAATTCAGATTTCTAAATGCAAAAAAGACAGGGCCTGGCAATGTGGAAAGTGGCTCTCTGCTTTTGTTCCTAAGTCATCCTTTCAAGTCACTCTCAGGGTTTTTTGTTTTGTCCCAACACTCATGTTAACAACACCAACTACTTGTCTTAAGTTTATGTCTTGCAAGGTTTTCCTCTGTGAAATGTTTTCTATTTACTAAGTATTTGTAAGAAAAAGATAAAAAAAAAATCTACTTGAATGTCTCTTTGCTCATCCAGTATTTTCTTGGTTTATTTATTTGTTATCCTGGGTGGTACTGAGAGTTGAAACATCTAGTTGTGCCTGTGTGGGACCCATGGCTTCCTGACATAGTTCAGTACCAGTCATATTTCATTCTGCCCTTTTCTCTGACTATATTTACAACTCTTTTCTCTTTTAGTGATAAACCTGGATTCCATTAAATGCTGTTAACTATATTGATGTTCAAATTATGTCCTGTTTGTCTGGTTTTATCTCCTTATGTGCCTCATTATTAATATGTCTTCTTGGAACAAAAGATGGTGCCACTCCATCTTTTCACGTTTCTGAGTCTGCATTCAGCTGTTTCCTTAAGAACTCTTACTCCTTTAGAGAACAACATGTAAAAGATCCAGGTGATGAGTATGATCATTGCAATAGGCATCCGTGTTGTCTAGGCCACCTTCTTGATTGTAGCCAAGAAGCATGTGTGTTAAAGGCACACATACTTGCACTTTGTGTCTGTGGTTGGAGATTACATTTACACACGCACCCCCAGTTCCACTCAGCACCACAGGGTTCATTCTGGCTTGTTTACTTTCCACATGTTTAACTCCTTCTCTTTTAGAGATAAACCAGGATCCTTGTATCTTTTCTATAATAGTTTAGTCACTTTTTTCATTACCCTACAGTTCTTTTTGTCCTCCCCTCTGTGGGCTCTTACTTTGTCATAGGCTACCACACAGCCACATGGTAGATTCGGTGGGTTATCCCAGTACAGAAGCTTCCTTTTCTCAACCTCAGTGCCTCCCTTATCTGTGTGCACCTTTGCAGAGACATCTTCTGAGAACTCATGCTCAGGTACTCATCCTATGACTTTATAACTGAATTTCTACAGAGCAAGAAAAGGCAAGACATAGCATATTGCTCTTGATCACACAGCCATCTTATTTGAGAAATGATACTTAGTGACTGAATGATCCACCCTAAGGAGACTGCATTTGATGTTGCCGGAGAGCAAAAGCCTCGAATCTGATCTATTCAACACATGATCTTTCATTTATACCTTTCAAAGAAAAAAAAAAAAGACGATGGTACTTCGCAGTTTAGGTCCAGCATGGACTCAGAAAATAGAATGAATTTTATGAATGATGAACCCTATGCCTAGATTATGAATAACTAGGGAAGGGTACATATCTTTAGAACATAGGCATTTTGTTCATTTTTAAAGACTGACTTTTTTTTCATCTATCTAGCATTTAGGAGCTGGCTAGGTTGTTAGGAATATTTCCTTAAGGTCACCTTACTTGTTCTGATGGAGAAATGCTGCTGTTACATACCTGGTCCAGAGAACTAATAAACCAGAGCAGACTAGAGTTTTGGCTGACAGGTGTTGTAGAGAGTCCTGGGAAGTATCCTTAACTTGTTTAGATACATGATTGTTTAGTGCGTGTTGACATCTAGAAGCTGGTGCTTAGAGAGGTGAGCACTAAGACAAAACAGAAGGGTAGTAAGTACTGCCATTGTGATGGGAAGACACTGGAATTGTGCGCTCACTGCTTCTGAACCTAAGTTCTTTAAATTTACTTTGTTTAGGTGAAGTTTACACATGGGGTGACAATGATGAGGGCCAGCTAGGAGATGGAACAACGAATGCTATTCAGAGACCACGATTGGTAGCTGCCCTTCAGGGTAAGAAGGTCAACCGCGTGGCCTGTGGTTCTGCACACACCCTTGCCTGGTCAACCAGCAAGCCAGCGAGTGCTGGCAAGCTCCCTGCACAGGTCAGTGGTAGCTGGGTAGGTGTGGTAGAATTGGGGCACATTGTGACAGTTAACTATCATGCAGGTACAGCCTCAGATGGCTCATCTTTTCATTATATATTTACAGAGGTGTTTCACTGATAGCAGTTCAGTTTATAATACCATGAAACAGTGCTATTGAGAACTGGAATATTGAGCTGTGAGCATAATTCAATGATAGAATGCTTACTTGCTTGGCATACATGACGTCCTGGGTTCAATTCCCAGCACAGGGGGAAAAAAGGTAGAGAAAAATAGACTTAATACTCATACCAACCAACATCATTTGTCTAGCAATGTGTTGCCTTCTTTACATTTTTTAACTATATAAAATAATTGATTGTATATGTGACCTACATGTTTCTTGGTAAACTTATTTCTGTAAACTAATGTTTGTAACATTCTTCAATGCTTATTTATCTTAAATGATCAGACTAGCCAGAAAGAACATGATGAATTTTACAGACTACTCTCAGAAATTATGATGCTGTTTTTTGGCTTTCTGTGCTTTGCCACTCAGTGGATTCAGTGAAACTGTGATGTTTCAGGTACCCATGGAGTACAACCATTTACAAGAGATCCCCATCATTGCTCTACGGAACCGACTGCTGCTGCTGCATCATATCTCAGAGCTCTTTTGTCCCTGCATCCCCATGTTTGACCTAGAGGGCTCTCTTGATGAGACTGGACTCGGGCCGTCAGTTGGGTTTGACACACTCCGAGGGATCTTAATATCTCAGGGAAAGGTATTTTGTAGCCGTCTGTAGGATAGGAATAACTGTGGTGATCAGTAAACTTTTACTCAACAAAAATCCGTATTCTGGGACTGTAGATACAGACTTTTTTAATTCAGCAAGTGGTCTTTGAGTGTCTGCTCCATGCCAGCTATTTCTAAGTACTAGAACATGTTCATAAAAAAATAGCTATGAAGCCAAGCCTTGTGCACATGGTTTTCTCTGCCTGCCTGACCTTGAGGGTTTTTGGTGAGTTCCACTGACACAGGAGGGAAAAGTTCTTAGGTAATTTCTTCTCCTGTATATGTCCAGCAGAGGGTTGGGAGCTTAGAGAGAAGCTCTCTGTCAGGTTGTATAGGTGGATATTCCTTGCTGAGAGAGGATTGAACAGGAACAGGAAGTAGACAGAGTTGAGAATTTTGGGACGGGATGGTTTTTGACCCATTGACATTCTTATTAACCAGAGCTTCCCTGTAGGGAAAGTAAAAGATGTTGAATTTCTGGTGGGAAGCTTAATATGATCTTAAAGGGGACTCAGCATTAAGTAGCAGGTATAGGAGTATAGAAAGAGAGTTAAAGAGCTCTCCACCTAGAAGGTCTGGGATTCTTTGATATATGTTGATATCAAGGAGAATAGTCTATTCTTATTGATAAAATAACATTTAGTAGTTTTACAGTGATGTCCCAAACACTTATTCTCTTTTAGGATAGGTTTTGTTGCACTGAATAGGAGAGCTATGTGTATTTTATGCCCATTGTGTCTGAGGCTACTGAGCAATAAAGATAGTATCTAAAAGATGTTCTCTCTGATATTAAATGCAAGAAGAAACCGAATTTCAACTATTTTTCTGGTAGTTAAAAAATGGCAAAGTTAATTCTGTTATCTTCACTTTGTCTTACCCTTCAAAGAATAGAGGACAGTAGACAGCAAAGAGGAAAACCATCTTTTCTTGTGGAGAGGGAAGAACATATAGATAGGTTGCATCCTACATGAGGTAGTGTCAGTCACCTCCTACAGGCAAGAACCTCTGAGATGGGCTTCCAGTAAATCAATCCTGGGGCACCATGGACAGTGGTGTCGGAGTGTCTGCACTGAAGCAGTACCAGGAGAGGGCAGCCTGGTATTGGGTGTGTGAAGGACCCTGAGCTGAGCAGCCTCTGATCAACAGTCTCTGGATGGGAGTTAGAGGAGACAGTGCAAAGGTATGAAGTCTTAATGCCCCTGATCCAGAATAGCAGTGAGGTTTTGGTGTGGATTTGGAAGGTGGAGGCAGGAGAATTGTGAGTCTGAGACCACCCTAGGTTGCATAATGAGTTCTTAGCTGGCATAGGCTGCATAACAGGAGTTATAAGACTTTTTCTTAAAAAAATAAACAAAACAAAGCCATTCCAGCAGTTATCACTAGAGGGGAGCTGGGCAACCAGGGATTCAGACTAGGGAAATGCTCTGAGAGAGGAGCGGGGCATGCAGGAAGGCACGGAGAGGTGAGGCTGTGCATGGGCAACGATGGTAGATATTTTCCTACCATAAAGCTTTAATCTCCCTCTTTTAGTGCTTCCTGGGGTTGCTTAATGTCCCACCTCTGCTGCCTGGGTTTTGGATTCTCTAGAGTCAGATCCGGGAGAGGGGTTTAGGATCTGTAGGAGGCCTTTGTGCTTCTGCAGGTCTACCCCCTCCTTAGCTCTGAAAAGAGGGCACTGGTGCCCCCTGGGCAAAGAGGCCTGAGACCACTGTTTCCTATGAATGCCCCTCAAGTGTGTTCCTTCCTGCATGATGCCCATATTCTTACTGCCATGCCAACACTGTCCTGGCTGTCTTCACCCCGGTGTCTTTTAGTGTATGTTTACAGTGTATTCCCTACCCCGGGTCTGGCTGGATCCATAAGATCCTTGACTCAACAGCTGCTCTGCGGTGCAGTTACGAGTTTGAACATCAGGCCCTGTTGCTGTTGAACTTGTAGTTTAGCAGGAAATCCTCAGTCTTCTAGACCTGAGTTGGAGTAGGTGTTTGTCAGGCCTCATCCCTCTGATCTGTTCTTCTAGAGGGACTTGCTTCTTTGCTCAGCTGTCAGTCATGCTTGTAAGCTCACCAGTTCTCTATATCACTTGCTAAGCTACTTACCTCTGTCATAGAACAGAAAAGGAGCCATTTTCTGTTCTCAAGGAAATCTGACTTTCAGAAATAGAGGATATAAAGCAGTGGCATGGTTCTCAGACACGATGATTTCTGTTTCAGGCTCTAAACTTTTTTTTTTTCCTTGTTTTAGGAAGCAGCTTTCAGAAAGGTAGTACAAGCAACTATGGTGCGAGATCGACAGCATGGGCCTGTGGTGGAGCTGAACCGTATCCAGGTAGCTCGCTCTCCATCTGACTGTTGTACAAGTGGTACTTTGATGGTATAAGTCTTGAGGGATGGCAGTGCTCATGGGCTTATGGAGCAGGCTTTCTGTATGTAGTACTCTGCGATGCAGAGGTCTTAGGGGCCATTTATATGAAAATAAAAAAGATTTATCTGGCATACCCCAGAAGCACAAAGAGAAGTTTTTAGAAGGTAGAGTAAGAAACAGCTATATTTTCTTCACAAGATGATAAGGCCACTCTTCTATGTGGTCTTTGTATATTTGGTATACACAAAGCTAAGTCACTCTTGCAGATTGCTAGGGTTTTTTACGTGTAACAGTTCACATTCCTTTGAGCCTTGTAACCTCCTGACTCTGAGAGTTTTCCAGTTTAATAAGTCCGTATTGCTAACATTGTCTCATGAATAAAAGGGAAAATCAGGTCATTTGTGAATTAACACTGCTTCTAAGTACACATAAACTTATGCTTTGAACTTTTTAATTAAAAACCCAGAGGAATCCCAGTCAGTGATTGTGATAGTGCATGGCATTTGACATTTAATACGCAAATGAAATTAGCCTCGCCTCTCAGATCAGAAACAGAGAGCCATGAAGAACAAATTCTTTGTTACTGAACCTTTGTATTAACACATGATTTCTATCCTGATGGTGATTACATGACGAGAATTTTTTTCTGAATTGTACTTGGGGGCATTTTGGATTAAGAGATCAAACTCTTGTCCTTTGTTGGACAGCACATGTGACCACATTGGTGGAACTGGTGTCTCTAGTGATGAACGTCACGGTATCTAGTGCTAGCTGTAGTTTGGTCCTCTAGTTTCACAAATAAATGGGCTGTTTAATTCAGTCCATAAAAAAGCTTTTATTTCCCCACCTTGGATGACGAGCATTCTAAAGTTTTCAAGACAAGGAAAATTGTACATTCCTGGGTCAGGTTTCTGTCTTAGGCAGACCTACAGGCTCCTTGGAGCCAGGAGCCTCACTGCGATGTCCCTGGCTGGAGGTATCAATGAGGTCCTGACTGCTTAGAGCCTAAAGTCCTGCAGTGGGAATGCTGCTGCTTGCTGTCTTTTTTCCTTGCAGAATTTCAATAATATTTGTTTCCTGCTGATCGTTATGTCCCTACTTTTGTGTTTAAAAATGATCAATATGCGTGAAAAAAAAAACCTGGTAGATTGAAAAAAAAAAAAAAGGCACACAAACATCCTCAGAACCGTGTGCAGTGTAGACTGACATCTAGGGTGCCTCCGTCATCCATTTCTTTGGGCACAGGAGCCTACAGTTAGTGCAGTTATATCCTAAGGGTAGAAAGCTGGCCCTACTGCCCTGGGTTGGCATCGATTATGATGGTGGTCGGCACTAGTTTCGTGAGACTCAGGAAGGATTAATACTGCCCACTGGAAGGGACTCAAGAGATTCATACGCACAGCTCATTTTCCTGGGGAGGTTTTTCTTTGTTTTGTATAATGAATTTTAGTCAAACCCCTACCACCACCCATTACTTTCTCTTATGTCCCACCCCACACTTCTCCACTCCCCGCTGCTGAAACCTGGTTCTTTCCTACAAGTTCCCCTGACTTTCCTACGTTTCTGCCTTTGATACTTGTATGACCTACTGAATTTATTTTTTTTTTTTTTAACTTTTGCATGAGCACAGATGGGGGTTATTTTCTAGTTATCAGTGGCTCTTCTGTTGAAGAGGGCGATACCCTCTGCTCCTGTAACCATTATCCACAAAAGACGGTCCGGGAGGGGTGGGGCCGTGAGCGCCCTGGTGGGGTTTTATTGTTATGAAGACTCTCCGGGAGGGCTGGGACCATGAGCTCCCTGTTGGGCTTTTATTGTTATGAAAATGGTGCTGTTTGGTATGCAGAAATTCTGAAAAATCAATGTCTAGAAAAATGTTTCTATGTCCAGGGATTTGTTTTTGTTTACTAGAGGTAGTAAGGTACCTGACCCTCCTTATGACACCTGCTTAATGCAGAAGTCTTCCAGGTGTTAACTTCGATGGAACCAAAGTGTGTGGGGGGTGGTAGGGCAGGCCAGTTGCAGCTGCAGGAGGGTCTCAGACTGTGGAGTGAAGGGAGGAGTTTTGAGGATCGTATATCCAGGCTTCTCTACCACTGCTTCCAGGCTGTACGTTTTCTGCTGCTTCAGTGTCTTATGGTTTTCATTCATTTCCTCTCTAGGTTAAACGCTCTAGGAGTAAAGGTGGATTAGCTGGACCTGATGGCACCAAGTCTGTCTTTGGGCAGATGTGTGCTAAGATGAGTTCTTTCAGTCCTGACAGCCTTCTCCTTCCTCACCGAGTCTGGAAAGTCAAGTTTGTTGGTGAGATTTTCTGTGCACATCTGTAGAACTTACTTGCTTGGGAGAGGGAGCCTAAGGGATAGCAAGCTGAGTAGTACATGAGTATCACGTGCAGAGGGTGAGAGTAGCCACCTTCCTGGTGCTGTTTGTACAGGTGGTGTGGGGTGGCCTGTGTGTTGCTGATTCTCCTTTCCTTCCAGGTGAATCCGTGGACGACTGTGGCGGTGGCTACAGTGAGTCCATAGCAGAGATTTGTGAGGAGCTACAGAACGGACTCACTCCCCTTCTGATTGTGACTCCCAATGGCAGGGACGAGTCTGGTGCCAACAGAGACTGTTACCTATTGAACCCTGCCACCCGGGCACCCGTGCACTGCAGCATGTTCCGATTCCTAGGTGGGCCTCAGTTGTGTGTCATACTGCTATGAAGGGCCTGTACCACTGTTAAATTAGTGTAGCATCTCTTGTCTGTCACAGGACAACAGTGGGTATATTTATATTTATAATATAAATACCTATGTTTAGCTTTTAAGACATTGATGATGAAAGTGATGTGCAGTGATTTTTACCAACATTATGGAGGAGAAAAGGTTCATTTTGTACTTAGTGTTAAGGACTTGATAGTGGTGAGCTAGCAAAAGTTATGACCATTCTTTGTACAGCTATACGGATTTATAGTTAGACAGCATGTGACTGTGTGTTCAGTGCTATATACTTTCTTTGACATGCAGAGGATCTGAAATATTGTTTGGGTTTATCTGTTGTGGGAGATATTTAAAATGGTGGCACATGATCTGTCTTGTGGTACAGGGCTGCCATATTCCCAACTAGGCTAGGCCTGAGGCCACAGGTGGCACCCTGCCACCCACGAGACACCAGCGTGGGAGATTGGCAGAGCCATCTCCACTCTCTGCCAATCTCCCACACTGTCTCCACAAGGTTGGGCTGAGCCTAGACCATCCCATCATCCACGTGGTACCCGGTAGAAAATGAGACTCTAATGCTTATGATTAATCAAAGGCTTTATATGTTTGATAATGCTCGGTTAACAAGATGGTCACATAATTAGAGGTGTTAACCAATTAACTAACCTAGATATAAGTTGTTACCCAGGACTGGTCTCGGTACATTCGTGGTCATCCATGGCACTTCCAACTCTGCCTACCTCTGCACCTCTTCTTCCTCCTTCTCTTTCTCTCCTTACTTCTCCTCTTCCTCTCTTTACTCCTCCCACCTTAGCTCCTCCTAACTTGTGGGGTGAATTTCCCACTACACATATCTGAAACTCAGGAGTTCACAGAGGGAGATGGCATTGGCTGTGGGCCTGTCACTCTTTGTCTGGGTCTGTGGAGAGTGCTCTCACAGGGCTCCTCACCCTACCACTACCCATTAACAGAACATCTACCCTCTTGGAGGAATCCATCTCTTTGCTTTGCCATCAAAGGGACAAGAGTTGGCTTACTGTGGTTTAATCCTGTGTATGAAAAGAATAAGAAGAGTTAGCAAGGTGTGTTATAGGAAGAAAAGGAAGTAAGTTTTGAGTAGGACCTGCTGGTTTAAGGTGAGGCTAGCTCTCAGTTTGGGTGGTTCTGGTTTAGAAGGCTCCATGGTTTCAGTGCAGAGATGATACTACAAAGCGTGTTTCAACAAGCAAGAAGCGACTTCTCGTTCATTCCAAGTATATTCTGACCTTCTGGTTTGAACAATCAGGGGTGTTACTGGGCATTGCCATCCGAACTGGGAGTCCGCTGAGTTTGAATCTTGCTGAGCCTGTATGGAAGCAGCTGGCTGGGATGAGCCTTACCATTGCAGACCTGAGTGAGGTAATTTTTCTGGGCTGTGGGTCTTGTTAAGGGGCTTGGGCTTTTCAGGGTATCTGATGTAACACTCATGGTTATATGAAAGCAGCTGGCCTCTGACTACTTACTAGAGTAGAGAAAAGTGTGGACCTGAGAGAGTTGGTATAATACACTTTGTGTTGCTTAGCAACTGATATAGCCTGATAGACAAGGGAGATCACTGTCATGTGCAGAGCTGGGCTACACCTCAGGTTCCCAGGAAGGGGACCGATAGGACAGACATAGTCTGGTATCCCTGAGCCACCTTGCTCTTTATGCCCTTTGGGGTTTAGGAAAGTGTTTAGTTATTTCCTCAGCAGTAAAGCAGTACATTAAAGGACTTTCTGGATCTTTCTTTAGCTCCTTGGATGAAGTGCTTCCTTGTAGAAGTCTTTTTTTCCTTCTTCAGATTAAGTTAGATATGGCTGGCAGTACTTGGCTTGAACTGGGCTCTGTGATAGGAAACAACCCAGGTTTAGCATGTATACTCTTTGACAGGTTGATAAAGATTTTATTCCTGGACTCATGTACATTCGTGACAATGAAGCCACTTCAGAGGAGTTTGAGGCTATGAGCCTGCCCTTCACCGTGCCAAGTGCCAGTGGCCAGGACATCCAGCTAAGCTCCAAGCACACGCACATCACCCTGGACAACCGTGCAGAGTATGTCCGGCTGGCAATAAACTACAGGTTTGTGATCATTTGTCTCTTTACTGCTTTGACTTAATAAATAACAAAAGTAGCAGATTATGGTTTCTTGGGTATTTATGTCTTTTAGATGTATCATATATCAAAATATACTCATTTTCTTCAACTATTGCTAATCTTTGTTATAAATTTTATTTGGTGACTTGTGTTCAGAGTACTTATTCCCACTTGAAATTTCTAGATTTCAGTAAAATAGTGAGATAAATATAATGTTCTCTTTTAGGGGACAGTCCCCACAGGGATATCAGGCCTTAGTGCCCCTCTACACTTACTTTGTCAGCTCCTCAGACAGGGATATAGTTGGGGCCATTATAGCTTTTGTGAGCTATGGCACCATCATATCCAGCACTGACAAATGAGAGTGCTTAAAGTGTGTGTGGCTGTAGTTAATCATTGAGGCTATGTCCTGTGCACCAGCCTATGCAAACTCCCAGTAGTGTGTATGAAGAGCATCACCCAGAGCCAGCCTCTCAGTCCTCTCCTGTGGTGTGTGTGGTAGCAGTACTTGTGTGTAAAGCTTGATACAGCAAAACAAAGTGCCCAGTAAATGTAGGTACGGGTGTGAGGAAGATTTTTCTCTTTCTGTTTTTTAAGACTCCATGAATTTGACGAGCAAGTGGCTGCTGTCCGGGAAGGGATGGCTCGAGTTGTGCCTGTACCCCTTCTCTCTCTTTTCACTGGATATGAACTGGAGACAATGGTATGTGACTGCTTTGTGCTGCCTAGAGCTGCCTTGATATGCTAGCTCACTCATTTGGTCTTTTACTTAAAACCTTCCATTTGGAAAGCTAAGGCTTGACTGTGACAGTGAATGAATGACAACACAGCTTTCCCACTAGGTGCTGAAGTTCAGGATGGCGCACATGTCCTCCTGAGAGTATGGGAATCTTATTAGAGAAAAAGGATTAGATTGATGTTGAAAAAAAAAAAGATGGAAGTGTGAGCCTGCTCTAATAGGATGTTTTTCCTAGGTATGTGGGAGTCCAGACATCCCACTGCATCTTTTAAAGTCAGTGGCAACGTATAAAGGGATTGAACCTTCTGCCTCCTTGGTCCAGTGGTTCTGGGAGGTGATGGAATCTTTCTCTAATACGGAACGCTCCCTCTTTCTTCGCTTTGTGTGGGGCCGGACAAGGTTGCCCAGGACCATTGCTGACTTCCGGGGCAGAGACTTTGTCATCCAGGTAGGCTCCTCACCAGAATCACAGAGCTCTGTATTGACATCAGTAGCGACTCGTGTGTATTCTGCTTTAGAGCAGTGAGAAAACAGATTCTGTACAATGAAAATGGGAAATACCTAACTCCTATAATTTGAAGTCTTTGAATTTTACAATTTAAGGTCTTTAACACTGTAACCTATTTTTGCATAGTGTATCTATGCCATAGCCAATACATACTATTGTTGACACCCTCATATAGATTTTGAATACACATACTTCATAAAGCATTTGTTTGATTTTCTAGTTGGGTCAGGTAGGTCACTAAATATTATGCTAGCAGAGAAAAATGAGATTGTTCATACATTTGAGAACAAGTTTGCTTTGTCTTAGAACTCAATGGTCTGGTGATTTAAACAAGCTCAGTTTACCTTTTAAGGTCACTGAGGAGGAAAAACCAATCCTAACAGTCTTCTTTGTCCTGAGACCATGGTAGCAATAGCCTTGGAGACACATCTGTACCAAAATTATCAAAATACTTATCTTTCAGGAACATCTTTGATAGCAAACAATTTTTCTAAAACAACAATTAATTCAGTTTTGTTGCTTTCTAGTATCTTGATCTGTAGGTGCCAAAAATGGGTTGATGCTCTTAGAAAGAATATCTGTGGCGATCAATTGGTGGACCCCAGTCTAATGCCCCAATTATAGACTGGTGTCAGCTAGGTGGCGAGGCTTTACCTACACCAGTAGGAGACAGTGGATCAGGCTGTTCTATTGGCCACCTTCACATGACTGCTTGGTGATGATCAGGGGTCACAGTAAAATTGTTTTGCTTCTTTTATTGCTGAACCTAGGGATGAGTTACTTTTTTATATATCTAAAAATTGGTTCAATTTTACATTTTCTTAATGTTTTTATTTCTAGCCAAATATATATTTTTATTCTAGCCAGATATATAGCTTCTGTAATAATGATGTGAACACAGTAAACTAAATGCTGAGTTTTGCTTATCCTCACCCCAATCTCTTACTAATATTCTCCACCAACAGGTCTTGGATAAATACAACCCTCCTGATCACTTCCTTCCAGAGTCATACACATGCTTCTTTCTGCTGAAGCTGCCCAGGTATTCCTGCAAGCAGGTGCTTGAGGAAAAGCTGAAGTATGCCATCCACTTCTGCAAGTCCATAGACACAGATGACTATGCTCGCATAGCTCTCACCGGAGAGCCAGCTGCCGACGACAGCAGTGAGGACTCAGATAATGAGGATGCCGACTCTTTTGCATCAGACTCTACACAAGACTACTTGACAGGACACTAAGATGGAAACACCATCAGGAAGAGATGTAACTGAACAAGCAGGAAGCGTCCTGCTGTGTAAATTGTAAATGTCGAGTACACCTGATGAAGAATATCACTCTTTGAAGTGTATGGTACAGAGAGAGACTGGCTGGCTGAGAGTACTGTGTGGTAGGACAATGGCAAGATGAGCCTGTGCATGAGGAACTCATGGGGCACTTCTTCCCCGTAATGCTGCATTACCTATAGGACCCAGTGTTTACTACAGTGTAAATGTTTATATGGACACAGAACCGCATCACTAAAATAAAGCCTTTCTACTTGTGGGTGCAATAGATTCCTTCTTTTTCCTTTGCAGTGTCATCTTGATTGTATATTGAAAATACTGTGTAATGATGAAATCATATTATAAATATTTCAACTAATTTTACTCTGAATTTGTTTATTAAAAGCTTTTTGAACATTAAATTATTATTTCTTCAGTGCATTTAGAAGTTATTTAGAACAGAAAACAAAAATGCCATTCAGGCCTCTTCTCCCCGGGTATACCGTTTTAGCATATGTATTATGTGATTGGAATTGAGGCATTTTAGTGGACAATATCATAATTTTTATCATGGAAAGTGTATTTAATGTCTGTGTCATGTATATGCCAAAATTTTAATCCTCTATAAATAAACCATGTGTCACAAAATTGTAGGCTGAGCTTTCTTAACCAATTAGACTAGCACATGTGGATCTGCCACAGCCAAACCATATTCATTAACAAAGCACTGAGACATTTATTAAGATTGCTGCTCTCAGGACCCAAGGAGGCCCAGAGACCCTCAGAGCTCCTTCCTCTAACTCTGTCAATATGCCCTCATGCTCAGTCCCAATACCTGTTCCCAGTGGTCTGGGTCAAGCATACCTTTGGTCCTACTGGCCACTGGGTAGGGTTTGCTGTGTATGGTAAGTTCTCTGAAAAATGGAAGAATAGAGAACAGCATAGAAGAACTGACCTAGTATGCTAGATCTTGAGATCTAGTATCTGCTTGAGTCAAAAATTTATAGTTCATGTTGGAAGGCGATTTTTGCAAAAATTAATTGTAAACTAAGACTGAGTTGTCTTTGATTCTTAGTCATAGCTGCTTCATTTTGGTCCAAGAGGATACAGGACAACTAACTCTTAACTTTTTAACCACGCGCAACTTAATATGAAGTCAAAATATCAGAATTTATGCCAAAAAACCTACTGTTGTGAAGACAGGCCATTTAGGAGTGTAGCTTTTTAGTCACACTTGATCATGTGTGTTGTGAGTTTTTACCAGTATTTTTAATTGCAGATTAATTGGTTTGAGACATCATAGTTGTTTAACTACTAACAAAAGCAGTAGTAGATTGTGTATTTAGAATACACAAAAACGTGCAATCTGCTTGAATTTACAAGCAGCGTGGTACTACAGAATAATCTATTTTCTGGTAATTGAAACAAAATACCTGAAGCTGACTAATTTCATGAAGAATGTTAGTACATGGGAGCCTGAGGCAGGAGGATTCTGTGTGCAAGATCAGCTTGACTACCTTTCATGACTTCCTGGGGAGATGTTAAAAAAAATTCTATTCACCTCAGGTAGACACCAAAGAAAGGCTTCTGTTCAGTCCAGTTTGGTAAACTGTAGAGTTTATGGGAGTGACAGGAACATGCATGCTTGGCTCAAAAGACAGCTACACCACCGTCATGGCCAACCACAACACGGAAGAGCACCCCTGTAGCAGCACAGGTTGCACTGTATGAGTCTCCTGGCATTCTAGTTATCTTTCTGTTGCCTTGATAAGTTACTTTGACCAAAAACGAGTTGGGGAGGAAAGGTCTTACTTATCTCATTTTACAAGTCCATCATTAGGGAAGCTGAGGCCTGCTTTCAGGCTCACATCCAGCTGTCTTTCACCTGCTTAGGCATGGTACTGGCTTGTAGTACACTGGGCCCCCTTGTATCAATTAGCAATCAAGAAAACGCCCCACAGACATGCCCATAGGTTAGTCTGATAGAGATTATTCCTCATCGAGGGTTCCACTTCCTAGATGTGTCAGAATGACAACCAAGAATAGCCATCACACCTGGGCAACTTAAAGGCAGCCACATTATTGAAGAGTCCCTCTTCCCAGTCAACAGTTGACCTCTTCTGTAACTTCATAGAAGACAGAGACTGCATGAGGATCTTGTCAGCACTGTGAGCCTCCTGAGCCCTCTCCAGCTCTCCCTGAGTGGATATTAATAGTCTTCATCTTAGGATTGAGGGCAATGGTTGTGTTCAACCTGAAAAAGACATATATTACACACCATCTTCCTCCAGCTCTAACATTATTTCTACCTGTCTTCTGTAGGTGAGTCTTGTTGGGAATGGGGTGATCAGATTGTTTCCTTCCATTTATGGTCGGATATTAGGCTGCTATGCTACAGCAACAGTACAGACTACGGCTAAGATATTCTTGGCATTTTGACTTCATAGGAGCATATGAAGTAACTGCCACCAGTTACCGTAAGGTGTTGCCTTCCACTACAGCTGACAGCTGAGTCATCTATGGACACAAACACAAATGCTTAGAAAAGAATTTGATATAAACACGCCAATTTAACAAAACAATAGCTGTAGCCACCTTACAGGGTACTGGTTTCCCTACATCAGGTTTATGGTGCCAAATACAAATCCCTCCTCTGGAGTTAACACTTAAATACAGTTGGAAAGTAACAGTTGTTCTAAATTGCAGCAGCAGGAGATCTTGCAAGACATGCCGGTAGTGTTATATGCAAGGGTCCATAGCCAAGCTGGACCATTGGTGACCATTCTCCTGTAGCCTGCATGGCACCTTTTGGAGCTACAAATGCCAGCCAGTAGGGAAATCCTAGCTCAGTCCCAGACTGACTTTTCTGTATCTTACAACCTTCCATGTAGTGTTTTTAGTGATTGTGTGTCCAGGATTCCAAGCAAAAGGTCCATTCTTGCAAGTGAGGATTGATTTGGGAACTGAAGCATCTCCTGAATAAGTTTTAGACAGCTACACTACTGAAGAGTTCCCTCCTGTTAATTGTTCATCTCATATATTGAAGTGATTAAGGTAACACCATATTGTCCTGACTCCACTTTGTGTTTGTTTAGGCAATTCTCAGCTTTTTACCTCCACAACAGTCATATATATCTTGGTAACACATTTGAGATTTCCATGACCTTAACTATGGCCCAGGTGTATTAACCAAAGTAATGTTTATGCAAACTAAACATAAACTAAAATAACTAAAGATAGTATAAGTCAAAAATAAATGTCATGTCATGTTTGAAATAATAACTGCCAGAAATGAATGTTTCGAGGTTTACTCTGATCCTCATCTAATTTTGATATAAATTATGTTCTTTGTACATTTTGTCTTTTAAAAAGCTGTACCCCTGAGCTTTGGCACCAAGAAACTGAGGCATGAGCATGCTTTTGGTCACTGGCCAATAAAGGACAACTATCATTTAACCAGCATGGTTGTCTATATCTTTCTTGCATGGATTATTACAATACAATCTCAGAACAGTGAGTGATTTCTGGGAATATTGTGAAAGCTTGTGAACTCTATGTGCTCTGTCAGCACTGTGATTCCTTGAGACCCGTGAGTCCCTTGAGAGTCTTGAGAGCCACATACACCTTCCCTCTTTCTCCAGGAGGGAAAGTTAGTGGGCTGGATCTCTTGAAGACCTCCTGTTCATGAACAAACCTCCCTGAATTCAGATTGTAATAGTCATGACTGACCAACCCAGAGGGAACACACAGCAGATCCTATCTCAAAAGAGAGTGGGAAGGATGATAGGGGGTAGGAGATAATTTTACTCTGCTTAGCTCTGGTAATGACTTCATGGCAGTATTACAATGGCACGCACATGTATGTACAAGGAAGACTACATTTCAAGGTGAGAGCCAAGGAAGGACTGATTGGCTCTTTCATTAAAAGCCTCTTGAAAGTCAAGACCTATCTACCATAATCTCTTCTGCAGACACAATGACCTTAGAGCCTTCCACCAAGCTTTGCCTCACAATTCCTTTCACTTCTAATATTCCCCATTGAAAACTCAGCTTCTAACACATGAGCCCTTAGGGACAAACCAAATTCAAGGCATGGTAATGCCTCATACACTTCACCATTATGATTCCTGTCAACAGCTGATTTCCTTGTATGGGTGGACTCCTCTATTGTCCCCAGTGGTAAGTTGCCTTTCCTCCAAGACTTGGCCAAGGCAACTCTAAGAACTAGTAGGAGTAGGAAGTTTCTTACTGAGCTCTGACTAGAGAAGTTGGAGTGGGGGCTTCTCCCTCCAGAGGCTTGATCCAAGCAAGACCTCAGAAGTTAACCTTGCTGGGTCAGAAAGCCACTGAGTCTGTTTGGCAGGTTTACTTACGGAAGCAACCTCAAAATTTAGGAATAGGGGCAAGCAAAAGACTCAGCTGGTAAAGGCACCTGATCACTGTGTGCCACACAGTAGAAGAAGAAAACGGACTCCTGCAAGTCATTGTCTAGCTATACCCAACCTGTAGATGCATGAACAAAATGCATATGCACACAAAATAGTTTAAGTTTTAAAAATGTATGAGGGGATGGGATAGACACTTGGTATTATATGGTACAAAGAAATATGTTGTATTCACATATGAAGTCATCAAAAAATGAATAGTGTTTTATTTTGTTTTGTTTTAATCTACCAGTGGCTGTACCTAATCCAGGGTTAGTCTGAACAAGAGATTTTGCCGTAGCTATCAATGCCTGGCTTATTTAATGGATGTAATGTTGCCCGGATGGGTTTATTTTAATCAGTGAGGTATGTGTCCAGTCTCTGTCTACTGCTGACTGTCTACAGTGGGTAGGTACCACCACCAGGCTTAATTAGAAGTCTATGACTTCCAGAGAGAGCTCCCCAAGTCTATGTGCTGTATGCTATTTGATTTACAAACACATTCCTTTGAAGGAGAGAGGTCCGTGGAATGTCAAATTCCTCTTTTGAAATGCTTGAGCTCTTTGTGAAATCCCCTTTGAATTGCTCTGAATTCAGTTAGTGGAGCTGACAGGCTCCCTGAGACTCCAAAGGCACCCAGGCCTGAGCAATGTGTTGGGCCTCACTTCATACATAGAACTACTCACACCATCCACGAGGATTAGCCCACCAGAGCAGCCTGGGCAACACGTGAGTCTGAGATTCCTGGGAGTATAAGTTGGCCTTGTGGCTGGGGTCTTGTGATCCTTCACCAGTCTCCATGGTAAAGCTCATGTTTTGGCATTAACATAAGCTGATTAACCCTTACCTTTTTTTTTAAATCAGAAAAAACTTCATAGCAGTGATCTCTGTCTAAGCATATCAATTCTCACTAAGATCTTATTGTTTAGGTAAAAATCCTTTTCAATTGAGAACAAGGCAGTAAGAAAGCTCTGAATCCTGGGATCAGAACTTGCAGTCAGGGAGAGCAGGTGCTGACTGATCCAGGTTTCTTCCTCCCGCCATGGGCTGCAGCAAATAGGGTACAGGGTCACGACTTCTGGCAGAAACCAGCCCTAAAGGACTTTTGATTTCAGGGTCAGTGGTTCTTTCGAACTCTTGGATGGGACATACACCAGCCACCCTTGGGTAGTGTAGAGTTGTTAGGTGAAAGATTAGGTGGCCAGGCCAGGGACAGGAGGCTGA